TTCAGCTCCTCGGTTGCAAAATCTCGGATTTGTTTAGACTCCGAATAGGTAGGTTCCTAAAATGTTGCTAATAATGTTTGGTTTGAAAGATTTGTTCTTTGATTGATAATCGCGTTGGAAAATGTGGGTCTTTTGAAATCTGTAGAGTTTAGTTCGGGTTCATCCTCTAAATCAACTGATCCCCATTGTGATTTGATAAGAATCCTATTATTTATCCTCTAGACATTGAATGTGCTTGTATCTTAGTGCGCGCGGTGGTTTTCATGTTGAAATTTGGGGAACGTGATTGGCTTATAGATGTTAACCGTGCAATCACTTGTTCAACAATGTTGAGAGGAATTCAACCTATTTAAACTGGATAAGCTGGCAGTTGAAGGATTATATATGTTGCATTCGAGTAGTTGGAGAGTAGATCAGATAAGTGTTATCTTTTCATTCCCGTCAACTCATTGGCAATGAGTTGATGGGAAAGAAAAGATAATACTTATCTGATCTTACACTCTTATTGGTGAAGGTTTTTTTTTTTCCAAATACAAATATGCAATGAGTATATTGGTATGTTCAGGATTGAAATTCTAGAGATTTCTAATGTGTGCCGTATAACCAATTATACCCTGTACAATCTCCCTTTGAAAAATCATTTATACATGCATGACATGCTGCTGATGCTACATTACACAATCGCCATTTGGCTTACGGTCGTGCATCCCTTTCAAGATCAAAAGCGATTAGTGTGCAATAATTTTTGAAGTAATATTCATTTTCTTAGAGTTTATTAAATTTCTTGCTGACTGACGAGCCTTTGTTGGACTTTTCACGTGTATTATTCATATTTTGTAGTATTCAAATAGTATCAAGTTCATCATGAATTCAGACTCAGAATTGCTTGTTGCTGAAAAAGGAGAGCACATCTTTAATGCTAGTGAGCGGATAGATTGCCTCAATAATATGGCCAAAGGTAAAATAGTGGGTTACTTGTGCAGGCACAATACAGGGTTCATTTGGTAACACATCATGTTCTCTGTTTTCAAGACTGTTCTTTATTTTTTTTATCAGAATATAAAACATGCTTGGTAGATCTATTATGGATATATTTTCTGTTTTATTTGTTATGGTTTTTTTATTTTTATATAAGTTTTAATTGTTCATGCTTGGTAGATCTGCCAAGGATATGTTGTCTGTTTTATTTATTTTGGAAAATCAATATTTTCGTAGAAGTTCTAAATGTTGGTAGATCTATAATACATATAGTCTTTTTTATTCATTATGAAAATTCATTATTTTTGTAGAAGTTCTAAATGTTTCATAAACAGTATCAAAACAAAATGCAGTGAGATTAAGAAACTTTATTTCCAACCATTTTTAAAACTCTGGATTTTCTTGTCGGATCAAAACAAAAACATTATAGTCAAACAAACTTTTTTGTTTTCGTTTTCAGAAAAGTTAAATGAAAAACAGAGAAGTGTTAGCATACGATACCTAGATTTTCTTGGGTACTCTCCCCTCCACACACACGGATTTATTTTGCTTCGGAGTGACAGCTATAAGCTAACTTGATGATCACTTGCCTTTTCTGTTCAAATCTCGTGGAACTATCTGGAATATTTCTTTTCCTTATTGATTTGTATTTCTTTTGACTTAGAACTATCTGCATCAAATAATCACATTGGGAGTAATATTCCTGATGTGCTCAACTTGAAGGTTGGAAGTGCAGACATAATTTCAGAGCTGATGAAACTGAACAGTTTGGAGGTATATTGGGATTTGGTATAAATATTCGAAAGCAAAGTTGATGTGTTGTAGAACTCTTGCTCTTGGTCACCTTCGGGTTTTCCCTGCTTAAGCATCCACTTAGATTCCACCTAACACTGAATTAATCCATGACTAGGCTCTAGACCCCATGTAGCTGTTTTTCAACATTCATGGAAGGCTCTTTATTTTCTTTTTTATGATTTCTGATATCAATTTCTGTATTCAATGATATGTTATTTGTCTATCTGTTTTAATGTTCAGAGTTCATCCACCCGATCATTGTTTACTGCTGTGAATAATATTCTAGATGAAAATATTGAGAGAAAGAGTGGGGATATACCCCAGGTATGGTCAATCACATTAGTTTCTTTCTTTATTATTATTTTTTAAAATTTGTGAGCTAGGGGCAGTTTTTTGAAGTTAACTTTATCATCATTTTGTTTCCCTTTGATGCTTAGTCTGTTTTAGCTCTGCTAAAACTGGTTCTGCGAGAAATTGAATCACGTGTTTCGAAACAATCGGAGATTTTGAGAAAGGTATGTGGGACTTGCATAATTTTTCTATAGTCTTGGTATACAAAATATATGCACTAATCTATTAATTATTGACCTGACTGAAACTCTCCCATATACAGCAAAATAACCTCTACAAGTCTCGTGAATTAAAATATCAATTAAAAGACAGGGCATTGGAAACCCTTATAGCAGGAACTGCAGAGGAACATGAGGTATTATTAATCATGAACATGAATGGTGCTTATCAGTGTTTCCATTCTCTGCACTCCTCCTTTCATTTCATCTTCCTGGGTGTTTCAACTATCCCCCAAACAGTTAAAGTAGCATATCTTACATAGTTACATTTTAGATAAATTATGTTTAGCCACGATATATTTTATGAAAGTGTCACTCTCTAACTCTCTTAGATCTAATCTTCCAGTATGTAACATTAGAAATATGTAAAAGTATGTTGACATGCTACGTACAAAGTAAGATAGAATTTGAATTATAGTAATAAAATTAGAATTTATTACATATCAAAGATGTTTCTCATGTCTGACAACTGTTATTGCAAATGTTTTGTTTGCACATGTTCTATGTTGACTTTACTATGCAGCCCAATGCTGGTTTTGTGATAAATGATTTAAATCATCAATATGCTCATTCTTTTATGCCTTTTTAGCTGCAACCTAAAGGATTGTTTAACAAGTATAAAGATGTTTTTGCATAGGCTTTATGGGCTTCTATTGATACTCAGTTCATTTGTTACTACAGATTGAGAAGGCTAAGTTTGAGGCAAAGGAAAAACTTAGCAAGGACAAAATTTCTGCATTGCAGAAAGAGAAGGATTTTTATGAGATGAAAATTTGTTCATTGAATCATGATTTGGAGCTAAACAAAAAGACATATGAAGAGAAATATATGCAGTTAGAAACACAGACAGATAAAACTAGACTCGAGTTAGGGAAGAAGATTATGGAACTTGAGTGTCTTCTGAGCGGCTCAAGGAAAAAGGTTGAAGAACTTGAAGCTTTTTCAGAATCAAAGTTTCTGAAATGGAAAACAAAAGAAAATGGCTATAAACACTTCATAGAATCCCAGTTTGGATCATTACAGGTTTCCATTGATCTTTTATCAACTCCTTTATTTATTACTAAATAACTATCATGCCTACGACACACACAAGTTTCTTCTTCTTCTTCTTCCAGGCATTGAAAATGGCATCTGAGTCCTTAAAGCAGGAAGTTTTGCAGACCAAGGAAATCTATGCTGAAGAACTAATCCGCTTTGGTTAGAGTGTCGACAAACTTATACTTTGTATATCATTAGTAATTTGTGGATGGTTTTGAGTCCCCTCTCCCAGACCTGAATAATGACATAAACACATTATTTTATTAGGACTAGATCTTAATGGGCTAATAGAAGCTGCTCAGAATTACCATACCGTACTTGACGAGAATAGAAGACTGTACAATGAGGTTCAAGACTTGAAAGGTGAATCCTATGAGACACACAGGCACACACTCACTCACATAGCTTGTATACAAATTAGATTTCAGCTCACTTTATTTCCTTTGTGAATTTAGGAAACATAAGAGTGTATTGTCGAATAAGGCCATTCCTGCCAGACCAAAGCCAAAAGAAAACAACTATGGATTACATCGGTGATAATGGAGAACTGGTTGTTGTGAATCCTTTGAAACAAGGAAAAGATAGCCACCGCATGTTCAAATTCAACAAAGTCTTTGCTCCTACTGCCACTCAAGGTTTCTGAGATTTTACTTTAGTTGTGTAAATCTTTTAGACCAATATTGCATCACTTGGCGTGATTGCATTCACATACTTGCACCTCGAATGACTAGAAAAAATAGGGAAACAATGAAACCTCAGTTTCTAAGTTATTTTTATTTCAATTCATTTGGATTGCAGAGGATGTGTTTCGGGACACCCAACCGTTAATCCGATCTGTTCTTGATGGGTACAATGTCTGCATATTTGCATACGGGCAGACTGGTTCTGGTAAAACATATACTATGGTATGCCATTTTTGAAAATATATTTAACTAGTAGTTGGTGTCTGTTTACACATTACCGACCTCACTCTGTTTTTGTGTTTCATTAGAGTGGACCCAGCATTTCATCAATGGAGCACTGGGGTGTGAACTACCGAGCTTTGAATGATCTATTCCTCATTTCTCAAAGTAGGAAAAGCTCGATAGCATATGAAGTTGGTGTTCAAATGGTTGAAATATATAATGAACAAGTCCGTGACTTACTAAGCACCGAAAGCACTCAGAAAAGATATCCTCGTTTTGTCATTATGCCTAAGATTTGTATTCTCTAGACTTGCTAATAGTCACATATGCATGTTCACACCCAACCCCATTTTTCAGTCCATGGATTTGGTGTGTTGGCTCACTTGAGCACATCAACTTCCATTCAAACCTATGTTGCGGCTTTTTATTTTTAATTTTCGCACCATTGTCATATTTTTTTCATGCCTTGAACATACTCCTCTCGTTTATGTTTGAAATTGGAGAGGCACTAGCAAATTGAGGCATGAGAAGAATGAGACGTGAATGCAATTACAAAGGCTCAATAGGTTTAAGTTTGTGCTTAACGCGCTAAGTCCAGTTTGAAGTTGATGGGCTTAGTGGGGCCAACAGCCCAAGTTTTTGGCATAAAAAGGGGAGTTGGGCCATTTTTCACTCGTATAAATGCATAACTACATAATTATGGATGCTTCTTTAACTTGCACACGCTCGGGATTTGGAATACTACCCAACCAAATGGGTTAGCTGTCCCTGATGCTAGCATGCACCCTGTTAATTCAACGGAAGATGTTTTAGAATTGATGAAAATTGGTTTAGCAAACAGAGCTGTTGGTGCTACTGCCCTCAATGAAAGAAGCAGTAGGTCCCACAGGTACCTTTCTAATGTTCATTCTAGCATGTATTTTACTTGGAACTTTTATTCTGTGGTATGATGTTAATCTGATGCACATTGTGCAGTGTACTTACAGTTCATGTACGTGGGACCGACTTGGAGACCGATTCGGTTTTACGTGGCTGTCTACATTTGGTAGATCTTGCAGGCAGTGAACGAATTGACCGCTCCGAGGCCACAGGGGATAGATTACGTGAAGCGCAACATATAAACAAATCTTTATCTGCATTGGGGGATGTGATCTTTGCTTTAGCACACAAAAGCTCTCATGTACCATACAGAAACAGTAAACTCACTCAAGTTCTTCAAAGCTCCTTAGGTATTCATTTATGATAACTGTACTAATTAACAACAACTGAACCAATAAAATCTCATAAACAGTGTGCTCTAGGGAGATGTATTTTTTTCGATGCAAACCTTACCCCTACTCTGAAGTAGAGAGACTGTTTTCAAGAGATACAATGCTAATTTGCTGATACAAAATGTATTTTTTCGAGCATTTATTTCTGAGGTTTTTGAAAATGTTTTATCCTTGCTTGCATATTTATTTGTTCAGGTGGCCAGGCAAAGACACTCATGTTTGTTCAGCTGAATCCTGATGTGGAATCTTATCATGAAACTATAAGCACCCTAAAGTTTGCTGAACGTGTTTCTGGAGTTGAGCTTGGAGCTGCAAGGAGTAATAAGGAGGGTAGAGGCATGAAAGAGCTCATGGATCAGGTATTTAATATCTTGATTTCTTGTTTCATCTATGTCAATGCGACCCTGAACATGTCCTAGATGCATCTTTGATTCTGACATAGCCATTCACATCAAGTCTTACATTCCAATGCTAAAATCATGAGATGTGTGACATTTGAGCTCCATTTCGTTTCAAGAGAATAAGATGTGTTCCTTGAAAAGAAGTCATTCTATATACTCTCTTCATCCGGATTCAGTTGTCTATTTTCTAAAAAAAATCTCATTTTTAAGAAATGTGTTTAAAATTTCAAATAAATCTTTCAAATGTGTTTGAAACTGATATATGTCGACAATGCTCATACCATATTCCTAGGATATTTTAGTCAATTCATCATAAGATACTTTGGGTTTGACACGCTTCTTAAGAAAAATAAAAGTGATGCTGTTTAAGTTACAAGTTTGCCCTTTGGAAAAAGAAGAGAAGAAAACCGGAACAACAATGTAAAAAGTTGCCCTAAAAAGTTGAAAGGGAGATGAAAGGATAAGGTGAGAAAAGTAAAAGGTTAAAGGTTAATGGTGTACATTAGGAAAGTGAACATTCAGGGATAGACTGCAAATGAAAGTTGATCTAAAAAATGTTGTAGAGGGGATTCATGCTTATCAAGGCAGGATATTTTGACACCCACCCTAGGTGTCATAATATGACACCTGCCATTTGGGGCCCTGCGGTGCTCCTGAGTGGTTTCTAACTCCTAACCCCACCAACCCCTACCCCCCCCCCCCCGTTTTGCCAATATGCTACAACAAACACTGTAGCATGTCGACGAAACGGAGGGGGTCGGGTAGGGGGATTATTGGGTTGGGAACCAACTTGGGGCCCCAAAGCACCGGTGCCCGTAGGGCCTCGGAGTCATGTTATAACTCCCAAAACCGGTGTCAAAAGAAATATTATGAGTTTATTTATCATAAAACAGAATATTTCCCATAAATCCAACAGTTTATCTATCATACTATTACTGTCAAATGCAGGTGGCATTTCTCAAGGACACAATTGCAAAGAAAGACGAGGAAATTGGACGGTTGAGGACCCGAAAAAGCAATGCAAGTGACGAGAGGCGTGGCTTGGGCTCACTAAGGAGGAATGGGTCCCCCTCTTCAGGCCGCCATTCGTTAGGGGGAATCCCACAAAGTCGCAAAGCACACAGAAGTTCGAGGCTTTCTGAGAAAGCTGCTTCGGACAATAGTTCTGAGTACAACAGTGATAGGCTCTCTGAAGGTGGGTCCCAACAGTCAACAGATGAGTTCAGGCACCGCCACCACCACGCCGGATTCCTTCAGGATTCAAGGTTTGTTATGGCAAGCGCGGGTCAAAATTTCGTGGAAGAAGATGATAAGGAACTGTTAGGATTTGGCGATGGAGATTCTGAAGAAAGATTGAGTGACATCTCTGATAGTGTTCTGTCAATGGGGACTGAAGCAGATTCCATCAATAGTATCATAGAACACTCATTTTTCCCTGAAGCCTCCAAACCTCCTTCGGAGACAGCCGAGAAGTAAGTGACTAAAAATTCAACTCAAGGCTTGAATTAAGACCTAAATTTTCAATGTGGAATACTTTAACGCGCGTTGTGGTCGGTAAAATGATTTCAGGCCCAACATTCCCGCGAAACCCGCGAGGTTGTCAGAAAAGCAGACATCAAAGGCGGCACCACCATCACGGGCGTCACTGAACAAGACTGCCTCTAAACTTTCAAGTACATGCCACTCCACTGTCACTATCTTTCATCCCCCCCACCCCCGTCTTTCACTTCGACGCATTTGAGAGAATGGGTAAACATGTCTCTACTCTGCAGGTTCAAAAAAGGCGATTGGGAGCAGCTCTTCTGCTGCTAGACCTTCCAAGAGATGGCAGTAAGATGGGAGGGAGAGAGAGACAGAGAGAGAGATTGTAACAAGATTATTAATCTTTGGGATGATTTAGTTAATTAACCCCAAACATTATTACTTTCATGAAGAAACAATGGGAAAAATGGAACTAGGAATTTATCATAGATGGATTATTCCTGTGTATATTAATTAACCTGTGGAAGAAGGCATATCTCCCTAATATCAGAAGGACCCTTCTCAGTTTCTTCCCCTGTTTTCTATTTGATGCCGTTTATCATAGATGGATATTTCTGTGTATATTAACATGTTATCCTCTAACTCTTTTATTTACCAAATTTTCTAAGGCTCCATTGGGGGCACTCGGAGATGGAGCTCACATTTTTTTTGTATGGAAACAAAACGGAAAAAGGACTAAAGTATGAATAAAACATTGAAAATATATCAAAATTGAAATTTCATATTTTTATTTTAAAAAGTAAGAGTTAAGATGTATTTATGTTAACAATCATGACCATGTATATTACTAAAAAGTATAGTAGGTTTTTTTGGATATACTCTTAAAACTTACATATAAATGAACGGGTTGGTTTTGGCATTTTGCTTTGTAAAAAAAGTTTTTGCGCTATTTATTCACGTTTTTTTTTAAATTTCTCTTGAACTTTTAAAATTGTTACATTAGTAGTCTGTTTGTGCTAGATTTGGAAGTGCGTTCATCACATATTCATCCAGTGCAAGTATGAATTAATTTAAAATCACATATCACACACATGTTCTTCAATATGCCATTACCAAACATTATCTTCTACGTGTATATTTTTAACCTCTTTAAATTCTAGATAATTATTCACGATTTAGTCGGTGACGAAATTCAAAGGTCGGACATCAGTCCATAAAACTCGTCATAAATTGATCAATCTCTTCATCAATTCATGATATTTTTATGGAAAAATTATCTAAAATAATCCCAACTTTATCTGATCTTTCAAAAATAATCTCACCTTTCAATGTGATGAAATTTGTGAGTTTTGGGTCACTGTGAAGTTTCTAACGGTGGGTTAACGGAAATGCTTGTTTTGCGCAACAAAATGGAAGTTGGGATAGAAACAGTCAATTTTACGAATGGGAACCCGGAGCATTCCCAGATCATCTCATGTTATTGATTCCGAATGTCTTGGAAACTGACCCCAACAAAAGCCAAGTACTAATACAATTGCAGAACAACACTCAATTCTTTCTCCAATTGAAGTTGTCGTTAATTTTTGGGTAATTTACTTAAATAGGGGTAAAACATAATGACTTTCTCAATATAGGACCATATGTTTTTATTTTTCAATGTAGGACCATTGGTCATTATTCAATTAAATATCCAGTATAATTTGGACATTATTCTTCTCACTGGTCATTATTAAGTCCTATTTAAGAAACTAAAAAAGTTTAAGTCCTACATTGGGAAATGATTTATGTTTTAACATATTCAGTGCAAATTTAACTTAATTTTTTCCTAAATCAAAACGACAGCATGTTATGCAAGGATGAGACTTGGATAAGCTGACCTATTCAAACAACCAACAAGTCGGCTTCTTCTCCGTCTCTTTTAGAAGGAGGCACCTACGAACGGTGGCTGGGCGGTGACTGACGGCGGTCGGCGGTCTTGCTCCTCCACGAAGATCGGTCCAACCGAATCCAACACTCGAGCTAGATCCAGGTTAGTTATTATGGATGTCTACTTTGTGCATTTTGATCTGTTTAGTAAGTGAAATTATTTCTGAGGAATTTTTTGTAGTTATTTTATTATTTAATTGCTACACTTCCATTTATTTATTTTTCATTTTCCATATATTTCTCAATTTGCTTCATTTTACTTTGTTGATCAGTTTTTTGTGTTTCATACCAATGCTTCTTTTCTATTCACAGATTAGAACATTCGGTATTATTGAGGAAGCACTCCGGCATAAGAATTACTCACTCACCCCCAAAGTGTTTTCGCTATAACTTTTGTTTATTTCTACGTTTTCATTGGTTATTTGATAAAATAAAATAATCTTGACACTTCTTATTTCAAAGAAGTTTTCATATAGTTTTTTGATATCTAAATTTTATTTTTTAATGAGAATACAAGCGTCCTTGTACTTGTGAATGAAATGACTGATTTGGTAACATGATGTGAGCTAACACAACTGCTGGTTCCTCTAGGGCCAAAGGTAATGTGCATAGTGCCATGGCGACATTAGCATCATCATCATCTCTCTATGCCCCCTGCTCACATTCACCTCTCCGTTGTTCTTCAAGTAAACCAATTCTACTGTTCTCCAATTCTCTCCGTTTCACCCTAGCCCATCATCATCATAAGAAGGTAAGATATTCTAACAGTCAAATAAGATCTGCCAAGAATTCGTTCAAAAATGAAGAAGAAGAAGAAGACCAATCAGTTCCCTCATGGGCCAAACCCGGTTCAGAAGATCCGCCTCCATGGGCCAAAGGCGAGTCCAAAAAAGATTCTTTCAGCTTTGAGGTTCCCTTCTATGTGTATCTTCTTGCTTCTAGTGTCACTGCTATTGCTGCAGTAAGTAAATTTCTTGACCGGTGTTCTTTATATGATCTTGTTTGATTCTTCTACAGTTGTGCATCTTCTTCTTCTTCTTTCTCTTTTTTTTTTTTTTGCAGATTGGGTCAGTTTTTGAGTATGTGAGCAAAAATCCAGTTTTTGGCATTGTGAGATCTGATAGTGTATTTTACACTCCTCTACTTGGGTTCTTTGCTGTTACTGGCATTCCAACTTCTGTAAGTCCTTTAGTTCTGTTTATTTTCAATCTCAATTTGGTCATTTTGTCTAAAAAAAAAAGCTTTGAAATTAGTTTTTCATCTTTTTTTCTCCCTAATAATTGCCGATTCACCGCACAACGGTAATTTACAAGTAAAAGTTTTGCGAAAAGTTTGGCTACTAATGCTATAAGTAAGCATGTGATGAAGGTAAATGAGAAAATAATGCATAGATGATGTGATTGAATATAAAATAAAAAATTGCAGGCATATCTTTGGTTCAAATCAGTTCAAGTTGCTAACAAGGAGGCAGAGGAGCAAGACAAGAAGGATGGGTATCTTTAAATTCTTACTGACACTCACTTTGCAGAATGTACTTTGTAGATGATGTGGCTTACTCTTAAAGTTTCTTTGGTTTTGCTACTATCTTCGTCCCAACAAGCTCTGTGTATTTGACTTTTGTAAAATTTTAAGAAAAGCGTTGAAAAGTGTAAACAACATATCCCTAACAGGGGATCAGATCTATGCAACTTGACCTGCTTAAAACATAGAGTCGTTGTTTCTTGGTGATCCGTGACGAATGTCGTAAGTTGCAGTGACTCATTTTATTGGTGTACGAAGCGTGACCAGACAAACAAATCAAACCTAAATTGAACTATGTCCGGTATTCTTTACACTTTTTTTTATCTTCCCAAAAAATGGCTTCTAATGAACGCCGACCCATTGTGTTGGCCTATTGGGCCTTTCGAGCACGCAAGCTCATTATTCATTGAGACACTGTGTGTATGCATGCTAAGTCTTCATGTGTAAGGAGGGGGATTCAAACCATTATCATCATTATCCATAAAGCAACCAATTTATTTCTCTATGTCCGGATCTTACAAATTCGTCACACAGTATCATTTATTTTTGTATCTGGCTTGTAAATGTTATGCATATAAGTTGTGTACCTTGAAGAAGGCATTGAGAGATGTGAAATAAAGTTCTAAACTTTGCTATAAAGAACCACCAATAAATTCTTGATTCTAACACAAACAATTTCAAACCAAATCAGCTAGAGTATGACCATAACTATATATACAAATACTATAGTACTTAGATCCAAGTGAGACCATGATTAGATGTGAGAATGTGTTACCAAGGTTTAGAAGCTGGTTCCAAAACAATGCTCAAGTGGAGGGTCAACGGTTGACAACAACAAGCAAAAGCAATTTAGTTTGTCCTGTGGGTAGCCGATGTATTCTGTTTAACGCCACATATGAGCAATATATATTTAGATACTCCACTCCCTCCATTCTCTATTAACAACATTCATTCATTTTTCAATGTATCAAAAATGTCAATCACACAGCTATACAATAACGAATATATTATGAGGCAAGAACAGCTACTTACACGGGAGTCAAGTTGTTCTCTTGGATTTAATTTCAGTCCTATTCAGTTCAATTTAGTATGTTCCATTTAAAATCACACTACATTGAGTTTACGTCATTGTCATCTAGTCCAGTTTCATTCAGCTCTAACAATTAACAAACGACTTATAAATGAACTCCCACAAAGTAGGTACGTGGGTGGATTTACACAGGCCTTACCTATACCCAAAGGAGTAGGTTCTTTTTTTAAGAAATTGAGTTTTATTAGAATAAAATGGAGAAGAGCCCCAATCCCAAAGAAGTATATATAGGGCATGTATTAATCCAAATTTTAGTTCACCATTTGTACTTTTTAAGAGCCTATGGGAATGACATTTTCTTTTGCATAAAATTTTAACAGTGTAGATTAACTTTGAAAATGGTAACAGTAAACAATGCCCGTAGATAGTCTTTTCAAAACGCTAACCTCTGACATTATTCCAAACTGACTGTAAGAACGCAATAGAATAATACACTTGCCTTAATAGTTGACACAGGAATCACTTTCACAACCAAAACAAATCACAAAGTGATTGTCATTTTAAAACAAGAAATTTTGAAATTGTGAAGAATCTAACATTGATTCAATCCAGAATTTAAACTCATCAGCCAGAAACAAACTTTTGTACAAATGGAAATGGAAATTTTGAAGGCTAATTCGCAGCCCAAATCCAGAACACCCAAACTCATCAGACAGAAATTCATACAAAACTTAAAATACAGAAAGAAATTAAAATCGATACGATAAATTAGATAATATCGATAAGAACATAAACCGCTCGTACCTAAATAAAATTGGTGGCACACGGTCTGTAAATGAGATGATAAAAGGGAGAAACATCAGTGCATCACATTTTTTGGCAATGGAAAACATAGTAATTTGACATTAATATTTTGGAACCCTTCATTCCCATGACATAATCGTTTTTAATATGTAAGTCATATTTTTCTTCTTATATCAACTTGTAAATAAAATAATTTTTAAAGCTAATACTTGAGATTTTATAAGTGGTTTAGAATATGTAATCATACATTAAATATAGAATTTCTTTTACAAAAATATTACACGTAATATTTCAAAAAAAACACGATAAATTCATTCGTATTTAATATATCTCAAAAGCCAATACAAATTTCCTTCTCTATAATCAAAGATTAAAAATATCAACTTCCAAAACAAAGAATAGAAGAAATATACGAGATGAGTGTAATACAAGATTATTAATGGACTTTTGAAATTTGAAAGACTCATCGTACACAATTCAAAAATTTGAAGAACTATTTATGCATTTTTGAAACTTGAAAGACCAATCGTATATAACTCATAAAGTTGAAGGACCAAGGGTGGTTTTAGCTATTTTTTTCCTTAATCAAAACGACGGCGTTTATGCAAAGTATGTTAAACTAGTATGAAACTTGTATAAGCTGACCTATTCAAACAACCAACAAGTCGGCTTCTTCTCAGTCTCTCTTCGAAGGAGGCACCGACGAACGGTGGCTGGGCGGCGACTGACGGCGGTCGGCGGTCTTGCTCCTCCACGAAGATCGGTCCAACCGAATCCAACACTCGAGCTAGATCCAGGTTAGTTAATTTATGAATTGCAGACTTTTATCGCATTTTTTAAATTATGGATGTCTGCTTTGTGCATTTTGATCTGTTTAGTAAGTGGAATTGTTTTTGTGGAAATTTGTTTTAGTTATTTTATCATTTAATTGCTACGCTACTATTTATTTTATTCTTCATTTTCCATATATTTCTCAATTTGCTTCATTTTACTTTGTTGATCAGTTTTTTGTGTTTCATACCAAAGCTTCTCTTTTCTATTAACGGATTAGAACATTCGGTATTATGAAGACGCACTCAGGCATAAGAATTAGAAGCCTAATTTCACTTAGATTGTAAGGCTTTTCAATTGAATCATCTCAAAACAATTGCTCGAAATTAGATTCTTCTAACTGTCATCTGATCGGTTTGATTATAAGTGTGGAGTGTATAGAAAAAACTTGATTTTAATGCACGCATTTCACTGTTTTATTGTGCAAAGATTCAATAAAAGCTGGGTTTGTGCTTTATTATTTTGAGCTTTAACTCGTCACAGACGAACTAAATGGGCAGTGACTTTTTTGTATTAAACTATCTTCATTGAGTATGAACCGCATGATATTTATCTTTGGCCATTGAGTGTTTTTAAGCTCACAAGCGTTTATTCTGCTCATGTCATTTGGCTAAGTTTCTATTTACTATTTTGTTTAGTCTTCCATTGTAGTAGTTTGTAGTAATTAAAACCAGTTTCGAAACAGTTTAGGGGTGTTTAAGCATGCATTATCGTGCAACTCATGTGATGCAAAGCTTGGTAAATTACTATAGCAACGTGAATCTTTGAAGCTCATTTTTTAGTGTGATGTACATATCCGGTTTTGGGCTTGGGAAATGGTACCCTATTAATGTATTAAGAATGTCACTGTATCTTATTTTGGTGGAAGCAATTGTACCTTTTTTTCCATTTTACATTATAACTTCTGAAAAAGATAATGCTCCATAGCAAATACCTCCTCCTAGTTTTGAACTTTTAGGCTTAATTTGTTTTTCTTCAGTACACAGTCCATCACACAATAGATTTTACTAGCCAGCTTAAACATAATATAGTATATAAATAGGGAGTAGCTTCTTAGAACAGAAGTTTCATTACTGGACTAATGGATTTTCTTTATAGCAAATACAACAAAAGTTATCATTACACCAGCGATACAGATAGTTTCACTATAGAACAATTGATTGTTTTTCTAGAATAAACACAACTTTGTCATTGTCATCATTTTTCTGCTGCTTAAATTTGACCAAAAATTATCATTCTTCAAAATGATAATAAAAGATCTTATTAACGATAGTTATTTGTTGCATTGTCTAGAATTCAATGCAAACGTGGATTGAATATTTTAATACACAACAAAGAACGCAGTCTCATAGTAGGGGCTGTCAAGTCACAATTTGCTTATACTGAACTATCTCAAAACTTTATTTTTTAGGCAAATGTTTTTTTATTTGATCCCTTCCAGTTCTTTGTGGGCAACCATTCACTTAAGTGCATTTAACAACTGTCGAGCTTTGCTTTAGCATTTTTTTATACTCCATCCGTCCCGGAATTAAAGTCTACTTTGACTTTTTTTGGTCAAAGTGTAACACTATTTAACCACAAATTAAATATAATTTTAAATAAATAAATGCTATAAACATTTGATATATCAAAACTATATCTTAAAATGAACTTAATTGTATCAGTTTTACATTATACTCCAACTAAATATACTTTTTTTCACATTTTGTGGACAAAAAGGGTCATGATTTGACCAAAAAAGTCCAAGTAGAATTTAATTCTAGGACGGAGTACAAAAGTTTTAAACTAATAGGCTTCTAATGAAGTATTTAGACCACAGACATGCATAATTTGAGTATGCTCCTTTTTACATTTTGGAATTGAATGTTCCTATAGAGTTGTCGGGGATGGTGCTTTATAGACATAACTTCTTCCCTGGTCTATATATTATGCACGTATATATACATGGGTTTAGAACTCTAGTGCATATGCTCGCATTAGGACTGAAGAAATGTCGAGAAATTTGTTTAACAACAACCTCATGTGACTTGAGTGATCAATTTAACCTACTTTGCAGTAGCTTTAATGTATTTGGTGACTTCAGTTGAAGCAATAGTTTGGATTTCTTAAAATTTACTTTCTGTGATTTACATTGGGTTTATGTATTTGATGAATTTTCTTATACTACACTTTCTTTTAGCTTAGATTTAATAAGTTATATTTGAGAATGAAAACAAAGAGAGGGTGAATATCGATTCATTTGAAGCTCTTTTCTAACTTTATATTAGACAATTTTGTATGTTGCACTTTCTTTTGGCTAAATTTCACCATTTTTTGGCTTTGGGGTGTGATGGAATAAATCAAAATGGATCTCTAAACTGTCTGCGCTTCTTTAATTAATAAAGTAGCAGTTAGTCAAGCAATGCAACTTTCGACGTTGAGCCGGGGGTCTCTTTGGAAACTGCCTCTCTACTTTCGAGTAGGGGTAAGGTCTGCGTACACACACCCTCCCTAGACCCTACTCTTGTGGGATTTAACTGGGTTGTTGTTGTTTTACACTTTCTTTTGGCTTAGATTCAAGAAGTTATATTTGAGAATGAAAACAAAGAGAAGGTATATAATAAATTCATTTGTAGCTCTTTTCTCTCTTTAAATTAGACAATTTTGTTTGACGGCATCTTGTTTTTGTTTAACAGATTGATAGAAGCTGCAAAACCAAACCGATAAAGAAAATGAGTTCCTAGTAAATAATCCTACTTTTCCCCGAGCGGTCTTTTCTTGCACTGCACTTGATAATTGCCATGAAGCTACTTGCATCTTTCAGATCGTCACACAGAGCACTTTGTGGGATCACAGGACCTCTGCAATCGCGGTCATTCCAACCTGATTTTGTGCCAAGTGATCCAAATGCCAAGCCTGTAAAATACAAATACCCTGCAGTCTACGATCCATATGGACCTAGACCCCCTCCCTCCAATAAGATCAAGCAGCTTGCAGAGCGCATTGCAGCCTTAACTCCAGAGGAGCGGAAACAAATCGGGCCCACACTCAAAGAGAGACTGAAGCTTCCCATGTTGAAAAACATATCCACAGAAGGCGCCGGTGGGGCAGGTGGACCGGTGGGCGGTGGGCCCACGAAGGCCGAGGAGAAGGCCGAGAAAACAGCATTCGACGTGAAGCTAGAGAAGTTTGACGCAGCGGCCAAAATCAAGGTGATCAAAGAGGTGCGTTCTTTCACTAGTTTGGGGTTGAAGGAAGCCAAGGAGTTGGTCGAAAAGGTCCCCGCCGTGCTCAAGCAAGGTGTCACCAAAGAGGAGGCAAATGACATAATCGAAAAGATCAAAGCTGTTGGAGGAGTTGCAGTTATGGAGTAATAATACTAATAATTATCAGGAAAATGCTAAGGTACCTCTAACTCTCACATTTCATCCCAACTTTCTCACCGACATTGAAGAGGTGGAGTGCCCCTAGCATGGTCCTGATTATTATTAATATAAACCTTCTTGGATGATGTTTTGCAAATTTGGGAGGACTAAAGAAGAAGAGTCTTCAGACTCAGCCAGCCTTTTCTTTTAGACACATAGAGTGAGGTAATTCTGAGTTATGATTCAATGACCCTTCAAATAAGGGTGTGTTTTAGAGAGCTTACTTGGATCTCTACTTGCTTATTTTATGTTGCTTTTACAGTTTTGGGTTTTGACAAACCAATTTTGCTTAATGCTTATTTTAAGCAGGAAACGATCTCTTTATGTTATGGTACGATCATTGTGTGCCTACACACCCTCCCTAGAACCTAGAGAGTATCTGCCCATACAAAGCAAGAGATTTAGTCTTTTGATTTGTTTGACAAAATTGCCCCCTCCATCTCTAAACAAATGATAGTCATATTTAACCAGGTGTGACGGCCACGAAAATGAAAACTATATGGTTGATACTTTTAATTTTGGTTTGTTTGAAAAACAAAAGTTATATGTGTCTCATTTCCACTATTTAGAAAAAATGTGACTCACAAGTCACAACCATGATGATGGTTTGTCGCGGGTTTGTGGTTGGTTGGAGCGGAAGAGCATTTCCATGTGCTTGAGCAGTGAAGACGACAATGATTGCTCAGAACTGCTTTGGTGTGACCCCTAGTCGGACGGACAACTTCGGTGTAGGTTGACGTTGTCAACTACCTTGGCTAGTCTACTCTATGGCATGAATCTTGTTGTGACTTCTTATGACAATCATAGTGTCAAATGTAAGTTGACAATGTGCATACTCTCGAGTTTTGAATGAAAACAAATGTTTGATGAATAATAAACCATCAAATACGATTTAGACCAGTTGGTAGAGATTAGAGACTAAGAAATGAAAAAGCTCAATTCACAATACATTTGTGCTAACTCTCGAGTTTTGAATGGAGTGAGGGCATATTTGTAATAGAAAAGGAGTTATGCCTAGGCCAAGCACACTAGATGTAGTCCGGATGCACACTGAATGTTGTCCTCTGAGGGATGCCATTTATCGTGTCGCGTATAATGCTATGACGTGTTCTTCTTGTCCCAATGTGCTTTGAGAGATGTTAAAACAATAAAACATCTTTAGTTTTCATGTCACCATATCATTGTTGTCTTGTGTGTTCTAAACATTCCATGGTGGTTGTTTGGAGTATCTAATCCATGTGTTTGTTATAAAGTGCACGAACCTTGGCTCAAGGGTAGATACATATTAAATGCACATGATTTTGTTAATAGGGACCAGTGTGTATTCTTAATATAGGTGTCGGATGTGCAAGTCGGTCCCTTGCTCGATTGGTGTATATAACATTATAATTAGTGGATGTGATGACCTTTCATGTTATAAGTTGCTCCGTATCTCCTAAGAGGTGATACTCTATATGAAGACGATCTCCTTATTTTAGAAACATCTTAGCTACTCATGGTCTTTTTCCCTTTGTATGCTCTTCGTTTGGGTGGGCTCAACCTAATATTCTTAGATTCAAATGTGGAGGCTTTAGCGTTTATTGTTATTCATAAATGATTATCAATAATATCTTTTTTTGCTTTTTAGTCATCCAAAATAAATTAAATTAAATAATTAGTTAACTTAAATATATTTGAATTTATCGATTGTTTACCAATGTAATCTAATTGATAAACTAATTAAAAAAATATAATACTCTCTTCGTCCCCAATTTTGTTACAATTTTTTTCTCTCTCTCTTCTCGATAGCTTTTGTTTGTTTACACGATTTTATTAAGTATTTGATAAAATAAAATATTTTTGACCTCTTGTTTTATACCGAGTTGAACTTTTAACGTAATTTTTTAATATGTAATTTTTATTTTTTATCGATATACTATATTGTAAATAAAATAATTTTAAAAAGTGAAATATTTCTTCTCGTAAACCCAATTACGGAGGGAGTAGTATACTCCATATATTAGGAAGTTTATATTTTAAAGCTTAATAACTCTTTGCCGTTTAAACGGTAAAAAGGAATATATTGTTTTAAGTTCGAGGAATCATCAATTGTCTGGGTGGTGTAGTTGGTTATCACGCTAGTCTCACACACTAGAGGTCCCCGGTTCGAACCCGGGCTCAGACATTTTTGGCCCAATGTTCACCACCTTAATTTTTTTGTAAATTTTATTTTTTTCTTTTAATCTTCCATGCAAATATCCCTATAAATTGAATTAAAATAATTTGTTTAAAAAAGAAGAGTATTTCCTATTTGACAAAAACAATTACTTCATTTGTGAAAAAAATTCTCATTTGCACAAAAGTATTAATATATTTTCTCTCTTTAATAATTATGTCAGTCCATTATAATTTACATCCAAATGTTTGTTTATTATCTCCTTTAAAATGTTATGAAATTCATATTTTATTATAGTTGTTGTTACTTGTTAGATTACACTTCTCATCTTATGTACTTATTTTCTTTGCCCTATAATAAAATTTCCAATTTGACTTGATGACTTCTATGAAGTTTAAAAATTAAAAATGTATGGTTAAATTAATTAATAGGATAGAAAAAAATAAATTAATTAATAAGGAAAAATATAGTCTGTATTTTATATGGAGTATAAATTTATTAAGATACAAGAACATTTTAGTAAATGAATACAATTAATAATTAGTTAATAAATTTAATGTTAATTTTGAAAAAAAATTGTTCTATATTATTTGAAGAAAAATGTTAAGTTTTGATGAATGTGTTCATTGTTTTTGTGGGGTTAGTTAAAGACATTGTGAGGATGGTATAGGTTCGCACCCAGCTTATACCCTATTCTTAGCAGACGCATCGGGTGCCCATTTCCCCGGGAGAATCTATGGCGCCATGGATTTAGCTTCACGACGAGTCAATGCTGGTCACTATGTTTTCCTTCCGATTTCTCTCTGCTCTTCATATGCAATTGCTCTTCCGATTTGAAAGATTTTGATGCTGCGCGGGGAGAACACAAACAAAAAATAGAACAAGAGTTTGGATTCGTGTTGTGTTTTGAAGATCGGAAATCTCGAATCGCCTGAGTAGAATTCGTTTTCGTTCAGAGGATTTTCTACTGGAATTCTTTTAATTGGGAGCTCTGGTATTAATTCCGTTCGCAGGGATGGTTTCTACTTGCTTCTCTCGCTCCACAGAGTGTAGCTCACTGAATTCATAATGAGAGAGATGAAGTTTTTTTTGAATCATTGCAGGTACGATGTTCGGATTGCCTTTTTTCATCTATTGCTGTAGAATTGCACTGAAATTTTCATTCTTATGCTTGGATAGCAACTCAATTCACCCGTGATGTCCAAAAAATCCTCTATACAAAGAATAGTTTTTTACTAAACTAAATTGAGTTTTGTTGTAATTCAGATTCCATAAGTTATATGTAAATGAGGCATTGGTATTAAAAAAATTAGTATCAAATTTGAATTAATGAAAGTATAAATATTTAGGCCATTTAACTTGAATTTATATGACTGAAAAAACTTGAATTTCTATATTTTCAACCCAAAACTTGTAGACTAGTTCAATATTATTTAATAGATGAATGTAGTAGTGTTTTAGATTTGTTAGTCTTTTCTTGTCAATGTAAGATATACTACAATTTAGCGGTTATTCCAATAAAAATTGGCCTGCTTTGGTACTAAAACTTTATAGGCTAAAATATACTCCATAGGCTATTCGCATATACACGTGGCTTGATGTGGTATTTTGATGCAAATGTATTTCCCCAACCACTATATGCTCCTGCTAGTTTGCCCGATGTGGTGTTTCCAAATATGAAGTGTTCTCATGAAGCATCTAATATTCATCATGCCAGATTTCACATTCCTGTCACACTTCTGTTCCTTGGGATTTTCTGAACCTTCTGTGATAAAATGGCTCGGGGCCACCATAAACCAAAGGGAGACAAATTCTCAACCAAATACAGGTGTTATCTACTTGAAGGGACTTTCTTTGAACCTGTGGATTCCAATCGTGAAAACTATGTCTATGTTTCCACAGAGGATAAGAAGAGAAATAATAAGAATTCAGAACCCAAACCTGAGGAAATAATGACCACGAGAGAGCTTATTTCGGCAGTTGGTACTCTATGGAATTCTGCAGCACATCCTCTTTCTCTTTTCCTATCTAGTGCAACTTCTGCTGATAGAAATATTGATCGTCATAAAAATAGCACAATTTATGCATCCCCTGTCATGGGTATTCAAAATGTGCCTCCCCTAGCCGACGGAGGGATTATCCCAGCCCATCTGAGTAGTGATAAAGATTCTTCATTGCTTGTGTCAACAAATTTGGAAAGTTTGAGTGCTGATGAGAATTTGCCATTTACGGAAACTTGTAATGAGAGTTTTTGTTTGCGGAGATTAATCCACCATGTATTGGATATGAGACACAAGTCTAGAAGAGGAATATGTCCTGGAAATCAAATAATATCAAATAATCTAGAAAATGCATATGGATGGATGAATGGGGTAGCTTTTTCTAATTCAAACTTATTCTCTTCTTGGATTAAAAACTGTAAATTTCATGATTGCTTCTTAGGGAAGGTAGCCTCTAGAAATGGCATCTGCTGCACTGATGTAAAATCCAGCAGCCAATTGTCGGTTTACAATTCAAACCTTCATAAAAATGTCGGCGCATTTAATAGTACTTCATGCTTAAAGCATGATAATGCGGTTTCCAATGGTATAGAACCCAATTCGTCCCAGACTTCAGGTTCCCGAGCTCATGTATATTCCTCCGAGGAACTTATCAATCCAGCATTCAGTGCTTCTGTTGAAACAAACAGATCTGAGAGTGGGTTGGATGAGAATGGCCCGAATCAAAATATCACTTCTGAATCAGAGAATGCTGTAGTAGCAAAGAAAAATCGATGTCATTCACTCGCAAAACAAGAACATGCTTTTGCTGGAGCAATGGCGGGTATTTGTGTCAGCATATGTCTACACCCTATGGACACAATTAAGACTGTCACTCAGACGTGTCATGCTGATCAAAGACCTCTGTACTACGTAGCCAGATCAGTTATCTCTGAAAGAGGTACTCTGCCTACATTGAACTTTACAAATTTAGAAATTAACATTTCTGACATATCTGAAGTGACCTTCTTAGTTGTTTCAAAATTTACTTATAGGCCTAATGGGACTTTATCGTGGAATTTATAGCAATATTGCTTCTTCAGCGCCAATATCTGCACTTTACACTTTCACATATGAATTAGTGAAGGGAGCACTGCTTCCTCTACTCAACACGGTAAATGTTTATCTTTCAAACAATTTTGTAAATATCCCCGTCTAGCCCAATTAGTCCCCACCTATGAGCTAAGCTCTACTAGGTTGTCTCCATTGTTTTCCTGTTTCCGCTGCCAAATTCTAGTTTTTTCGCCCTACCTCATTTTTCCCGACTTTCCACTAGCTGCCTAGTAGTTTTTACAACTTGCTCTCTGTATGCTTACTAAGACCTTGTTTGGTTAGAGGGCTTTTGAGGGAAGGAGAAGATATTGGAGGAGTGTTCTGTCTTGGTTTGTGAGTTAGGACTTTTTTTTGGGGGGGGGGACCCTCAAAACCTCACTCCCCCAATTTGGTTTTAGCAGACCATGTTCTTAATTTTCTTTTCATCTATTTTTGTGAACATCAAAATGGCTCTACACTTCTACGTCATTATTGTGTACATATAATATAGTTTACAGTATTTTTATGAAAACAAAATTATAACAATTGTATTCCTTTGAAGCAAACAAAGGGTAATTTCTTTCTGTCACTCTTCTCTGAATTCTCAAAACAAAAGGAAATAGGATGGTAAATAGCCAGTAAAAAGATCTATTTCTCGTTTCTGATTATTGGATATTAATCATGCTATCCTACTTGATTTTGGATTGAATATTGGAGAAGTTGTAATTCAATTCCTATTCTGAAGTATTTGCATTATCTTTTCTTTTTTCACATAGGAGCATCAATTCGTGGCCCATTGCATTGCAGGGGGTTCTGCCAGTGTCGCTACTTCATTCATTTACACTCCAAGTGAACGCATTAAACAACAGATGCAAGTTCATTCACAATATAAAAGTTGCTGGTGAAGTCAAAATCCATATTAGCAGTTTAGCATTAAATGTTGTTGTACCATCTATATAAAACTTACACTGGTATTTCCACTTGGAGTCTAGGATGATCCATATCAATCAATACATACATTTTACATTACAATTTACATGAAACTGTTCAGGGCCATTCTTTCTTTCATCTATCTTGAGATTATCTTTTCTGCATCACTTTATCACTTTATAGCCACAATTTTTTTGTGTGTGGATGCTATGATAGAAGCATACTAGAAGTTATATTTTGCCTTTACGGCCTTTAAGAGAGATTCCTTGTTTTCTTCAACATTGATCTTGAATGGTCATCTTACCTTTTCATTATAAATTTGTAATGCAAAATGTAGGAATGCTAGTATTTGCATTATAAAAAATGGGGGATTGCCTTCATTATATGCTGGGTGGGGAGCCGTTCTCTGCCGCAACGTTCCACACTCGATCATAAAGGTAACTTCATAGTTTCTTTTGACTCTTTTTGGCTACTCTTGATGGCACTTCAATTGTAGTTTAGTACTACGTAGTTTGTAATTTTTGTGTAAAGGATGTTTCTAATTCATAGATTTAACGTTTAATTTGCAGTTCTACACATATGAAAGCTTAAAGCAATTGGTGTCATCACCTGTGAAGTTTGACCTTCAAAACAACACACTAGTGACGGTATGTTGCACTTGTAACTTATGCTGCTTCATATTGCTAGTTTTCTATGTGTTTCTTCCTGAGTTTCCATTCTTCAGTCTTTACCTTTGGCATGGATTCTAAGAAACCCGGAATAGGTAGTCTTCCCATGACTGCTTACGTATTTTTTCGAACTGATTTCTGGTCCTGCTTGGGCCCTGCCTAAGTGGTAGTCCCCATTTGACTGCTCACCAAGTGCTTAGCTTTATGTAATTCTCCCTCTTAGGTCTTGTTTAGTTGGGAGATTTTGAATGGGAGGAAAGGATTGATTTTTTTTTAAAACTAATTTAACGGCCTCTGCCCCAAAATAAGATTTCACATTGAAATCGGTACAAATTGTGTGGTTGAGATTTATGTAGGGTAGAGTTAAATAATGTGAACCACACAATTTTTTTCCTTTAAGAGAAGGTGGAATCTTTTTATAAGAGAGAAGAAGTGTCTTTTTATTTGAAAAAGAGAAGTGTCTTTTTTTTATTTGAAAAAGTGAAGTGTCTATTTGTTTATCTTATATTTTAGAATGGCTCTATGTTTAGTTAAATCATCTATTTTCATGTACTTAAATCATCTTCACTTTTTTCAAACCATTCACTTGTAAGAATAAATTAGATATCATCATTTCCCTTTCTCCCCTCTAAACTCCCCAACCAAACAAGGGCTTGAGCTATTCTTTCTGTCATTAAGGCATGATGATGATGATTTATATATTTGTCTCATTTTGAAGAACATTCTTTTCATTTCTTTCATCTTACTTCACTTCATTTATAATCCACAAAGCTTGTTTGCGGAGGCTTATCGGGATCTACGGCTGCATTGTTCACAACACCATTCGATGTAGTTAAAACGAGGTTCCAAACGCAGGTCAGTCGTCATTCGTAGATGATTTATGGATGCCCTTGGGGTAATAATGCTAATCTGATTTGAATAACAACTTTGCTTGGTCTGCTAAGTTCTTGCTGCTATATGCACGCAGGTTCCTGGCTCCAACCAGTATGGCGGAGTTCTCGACACCCTTACAAAAATAGCAAAGCATGAAGGACTTAAGGGTCTTTACAGGTACAATTTCTACAACACAAACTTTAATGCTCTGTTATTTGGGTTGTAAACATAAAATTGGACATTGGGAAAATAGAAAAATTAGTTGGAAAAACAGCAAGGAGTTGAAATTTTTTGAAGAAGTTAGAAAGAACTGGAGAAACTAGACGTTATTAGAATAAATTGAAAGAGTTGGAAGAAACTTGCAAGTGTTGGAATGAAAAATTGAAAAAAGTTCTAATAAATATTAAGATAATTAGGACTCCATTTGTTTTACTTTTGTCTCTTTTTCTGCCTATCCCGCTATTTTTTTTCTTCAAATCATATTTAGTACTCCGTACTAGGTAATATTTGTGTGACTCACATGCATTTTTTCTTTTTCTTTTTTTTAATTTTTAACATCAATATCAAACACAACTTTTTACTTCTTCATTTTCATGTCTCTAATATATGTCCCAAGCATAGTGCGACAAATAGAACAATTTTTTTTTATCAATGGTAACTGAAAGGGAAAAAAATGATATAAATAATCCAACATTTGCTCAATGGAACAAAAATAATCTCACACCGTACTTTATGCAATAAAATAATATGAAATTGCGATGTCTCTCAAAAAATGATCGTGGGGTTAGAAACCATTAATTTTGTGAATGGATACCAAACTGACAATGGTACCCCAGTACCCTTTTATTTTGGGTTGTGCTACTCTCATCCCTTTTGTATCCCAAAAGTTTACCCTGACACAAAATGTGAGTGCAAACAGAATTTAATGTCAGGGCAAACTTTTGGGGTACAAAATAGGATACAAATATGGGGTGCAAATAGAATTTTCCTTTTAATTTTGCAGCTTTTATAAATAGTGTCGAAATCACTGACATGCTTCTGAGAACAAGGAAAACATAAAAGTGATATTTCCTACAACTTTAAAATTTTGTTTTTTTTTCCTTCCTTTCAAACAAAACAACATAGTCCAACACATTATATTGTTTCTGTCTTTTTTTTTCAAAAAGTGAATAAAGTAGGAAGAGTAAAACTAAAATAAGAGACCCTGACAAAAATCATCATCATTGCCTCCTTGAAATTCTTGCATGATGGATGGATCTGTTTGGTTCTAAATCATGATGTACTACTAACTCATGTTCCAAAGAAAGGGTCATGTTTCCAAAACAAAAAAATTATTACTCCCTTCCCTTCCAATTAAGTCATGTTTGGTTACTTATTTTCGAGTAACTAAATACTCATTTTCGAAGAACTGAACACTCATTTTCAAGCAAGTTAAATTTTAGAAATATGATTATTCAGTTATTTGAAAATGAGTACTCGTTGCAGATGTACATGAAACATCGTACAGTCGGTTGTACGATATAAATTGCGTATCTATTGTCATATTTTTTTTTTTTGAAAGATTCTGAAGACGTGAGTCCAGCCTAATCACCTCTTCCCACATGTTCCTAAGTCTACTCATCTTTAACTACTTGAAGCTAACAAGCGTGAAATTTCTTCACCGTCCAACACTCTGCTTCATATAACATAGTCACCATTGTCTGAACAACTCCAATACGTTGCGCAACATCACTATCTATCTAAATGATCGAACCAAGATGCCGAAACTTGTCTCTTTTGGTTCCTATGATTTTAAAACTCACGCAATCCTACCGTACTTTTATTATACAAGTGTATCATATCAAAGTTGTATTTAAAAATTCTTCTTTTTTTCTACAGGGGCCTGACTCCAAGATTGATAATGTATATTACTCAAGGTGCTCTTTTCTTTGCATCATATGAATCTTTCAAAAGGCTATTTTCCATTGATGTCCATAAGCTTACTGCTCTAAGGACTTAACAAGAACCATGTTTTGAAGAAGTTTCTTCATGATTTTATATGTCCAAGTATGAAGATTGCAAGAATTGTTATTCATTTCCACCAATTTCAGCTTTGTTGTATATATTTCCTTTGTTTTTTTATAGTTTACCTTTTTTTAAAAAATGTAGATGTCTCCCACAATTCACTAATGAATGCTTTGAGAACGATGTATTCCCCCCCCCCCCCCCTGGCTCACTAAATTTTTTGACTTTTGCAATTCAGTTGTCCCATAAACTTTTTCATTTTTCTAGTTGGGCTGGTTCTGTTGCAATTGGCTTTTTGAAACACCTCTGGTATTTTGTTCTTAATTTTGACGGTCAAATATTATACACTTTATCTACAAAGTAAACAAAAATTACACTCCGTATTGATTATGATAAGTATAACATTAATAATTTCATTATAAAAAGTAAAAAGTAGTGTTAAAATGTCATAGTTTTATACAATATATATGTACAAAAATATAATATTAATGATCATAATATTGTATTAAAAAGCTGTAAAAGATATAACACTAACGATCATTATATTATATTAAATTTTGTAAAAAGTCTAATTTAAGGATAGATATAGGAGATAATATTGTTTTTACTAGCTCTAGTAGTACATTTTTCTTTGCATAGGTGCAAGTGCCCATTTTAATAAAAAAATTCCTTGTTATGTGTGCCAGTCAAGGATGTAAAGTTGGCAGAGAGAGTATGAATATACAGCTACTTTTTTTCCTAAAAAAATATACTCCTCAATATTTGTCTCTTCCAACAATGTGGAAAATTTTGTCATTTTTAAAATTATTTTAATTTATAAATTGGTATAGAATAATAACAATTACAATTTTTATTGTTTAAAGTACATTAAAAATTTTATAAAATAAAATGTGACAAAAATATTTTATTTTATGACGATGAAAATATATAAAGAAATAAAATTTGTCAAAAAGATACGAGTATAAAAGAGTATCACTAATTCACTATTTATTCTATTCTCACATCATCTACTTCCAATGCTACCTCATTTTCTCCATCAATTTTTCCTTACAATTGTCTAATCATTCCTCTAGTTTTTTCATTAATTTTTTCGTGTGTCTTCTCCTTATTTGTACAAAAAAATAAAAAAAGTAAAATAAAAAAGAATCGATCAATTACTCTTTTTCTCTCTATGGGAATATTGTTCCTCCATTTTGTTTTCTTTTATATTCTTTACCACCCTCTAATAATTCCTCTTATCTTTCGCCTTCCACATCATCATATTCCTCCCTTGTTCTTCTATCATTACTGATGCTCTAATAGTGATAGTGACAGAGATTGTGAAATGTAAGAGTAAAAAAAGTTACTTGAAATGAGATGAGCTAACTTTGTTTTCAATAAAGTTACTACCTCCGTCTCATTGTCTTTGTCCAGTTTTGACTTTTGGAAATGTTCATCTAAGTACTTTGACTCATCAAATTCTCTTAGGGGCTGTTTGTTTCAGCCTCTTAATGGTTCAGATGTCTAAATGGTTAAGAGATTTGCCTCTGAATGGTTAAGTATTATACAGAGTCTGAATGGTTAAGACCTCTTATCTGAATTGATCAGGCATTTGCCTCTGAATAGTTAAGCAATATACTAGCTCTTAATGGTTCAAACCTCTTACTGGTTCAGCACTTAATGGTTCAGACCTCTTACTGGTTCAGCACTTACCGATTCAGAAGTTGCCAAACAGCCCCTTAATGTATAAGACTAAAAATAGTCATGTATGATCTTGTTTGATTCGTCTTAACATATAGATTATTAATATATAATTTTTATAATTTTTTAATATACAAATTACAAGATAAAATGGATTAAAATTTAAAGAAGTGCATTGGATGGTGTGCCAAAAGGTAAGTAGACAAAGACAGTGGGACGCATGGAGTATTTGAAATGAGATGAGCTAACTCTGTTAGAAATATTTGCAAAAATCTAATATTTGCAAAAAAAAAACTAATATTTGCAAAAAATCTCATGGGTTTCAAGTATCAAGACAACTTTGTAGAATATAAAATCAGGTTTTTGCGTACCTCAGGGTTGCTTAATTGGGTAAGGAAGGTCGTCATTTGTTATGGAGCTTGACAAAAGTGGCGTGTCCCTTAGCTTCTTCAAGTCCCCTCACGCCTCCTCCATCGTGCCGCATTTGTTGTGATGATGAGGCGTTGCCCCTTTGTGGGTGATAGCCATCTCGTCGTGAAGGCGGCTTCCCTCTTCATTTTTTTCAACCAATCAAAATAATCTACATCTTCACCCCATCACTTTTTAGTTACGTCTTTTTTTCAAGCCTCACAATGCACATATTTTTTTTATCATTTTACATCATACTCCGTATTTTTTTTATACTCCGTCAAGCCCCGTCAAATCTTGTCATAACATATGGTCTAATAAGGGGTGGGTGAAGAAGGATGGAATGGTCGGATAAGAGCACCAACAGTGGCGTGTCATTTTAATGTCATGCCTTGCTACATTGGATTTTACACGCGTGGAATAAGTGAGGCAAGTAGGAGTCACCCCCTTTTCGTGGCATGTGCGAGGCAAAGTTACTCCATTTCTTTTTTCTTTCTTTTTTTTTTGGTTTTGAACAAAGAAGAAACACTCAGTATTTTTATAGGCAATGTTGTTCCCATTTTATTATTCCCTCCGTCCTAAAACTTTCTTCCCAAAGCACTATTCCAAGTTTACGGGAATTTATATTTATTTGTATTTTTTTATGGCCTATATGATAAAATAAAATATTCTTGTCACTACTTGTTTTGTTGAACTTTTGATGTAATTTTTAAATATGTATGTTTTATTTTTTATTTCTATACCAATATTTACATAAAATAGATTGAGAAAACTTGGGAATTTTCTTCGTTTTGCGAACCAGGAAGAAAGTTTTAGGACGGAGGGAGTATTTTTTTTGAAGGAAAAAAATCTATTATTTTTTTAGTATGTAAAACTATTTTATGATAAAATAAATAAGTAAAATATTTTTTGTAATCAAAATATGTCAAGAAAATTCAAAAAAAGATAAAAATAATGACTTGCCACTGCAAGGCATGCCACTCCACTCACTTGCCACACGTTGACTGGACTGTTTTTCATTGGTTGAAATATTCCACGTCAGCGTGTGTCATTCCATTTTTGCATCACCATTGCTCGTGCTCTAAGCTCACTCTAACTATTTTAAGATTAAAATTTTATTCATTTTTTAAGGCTGCTATCCAGGATGGTTTTGGAAATACTATAATTAATGGGAATGATCCTTTAATATTTTTGCGCATTAAAAAAATAAAAATAATTTGGTAGAAACATGGCAATGAACATCCTTTTTGTACTCTATCATTTTTATAGAGGTTAGGTCCTACCAAGTTTGTTTGGAATATAATCTTTTTTGGGGCTGGCATTGAAAATTCTACTATTTTAAATTATTTTAAACTTGCTTTGTAATTTCTTTGCACGGTAATTATGTGTTAAAATTAGTCAATTTGTAAACAGTAATAATGACAATAATTTACCAAAACAATGTTCAATTGCACATCACTGAGTTTGGTTCGGTAATATTGAAAATTGAAATGACAAAAATGTAACATAAATTCAATTTGTTAGACTAAATAGAAAAACTTACAGTATAAGGGAAACAAAAAACAAAACAAAACAAAAATCTTAAGAAAAAAGTGTAGTATTTTTCTATAGGGGGTTTGTTACATACAATAGAAGTTCCCTTCTTACTCTATCACTTTGGTAATGGTATATAAAAGCTAAGGAAACTACATTTTTCTCTAAATAATGAAACTAAATTGTATGAACACCATTCCACTTTTTTTCAATATTTCACCCCAAAAGTAAAACCTAAAGGGCGTGTTTGTCTTTTAGCACTTCACTCTCAAAATGCCGCTAAATTTTCGGCATTCTGGGTCCTGAATTTGTTGGAAGACAAACGAGCCACACACGAATTAATTTGGGGAACTCTAAATCCGAGCAATCGGAGAGAAGAGAGGGTTTAGAACGAAATAGGGGAAAGTTTGGTCAACCATTTTGTTCCCGCTCATCTTCTCTTGTTGTTGCCTTATCAAACTACCAAAATCGTCCTTGCCAAATATTCTTCGTTGCAAGGCTCTTGCCTCTCTGTTCCGTTCCACCGCAACCGAGGCTTCCTTGGCATGTAAAAGGGCAACACAAATGGAGAATGCTTGCAATGTCGATAACTCGTGGTCGAAATTGACCCCATATTGTCGCCCATCCTCAATCGGTGTCATTGTCAATGCTACTCGCTTCTCTTTCTTTCCCTGCTTACATATATTTTCCAAGATATAACCAAAGTTATAAGAAAACATTCAATTTTCAACGCAGAAAGGTCACTTTTAGAGCACAAAAGCATATCAAAGCCTCAAACGATAAAACTCAAAATTTTTATTTAGTTAGTCTCTTAACATGATTTGGGAGTTTTATTGGTCAAAAGATCACTAGTTCAAATCTCATTATCACTCAATTTATATTATGGAGTACATATTAGTAAAATGAAATAAAATTTTGAAAGCTCTTATCAAGATTAAGATAATAAAATCATATTTATACTACAGAGTGTTATGCGAAGCACATTACAATTTTTGTCAATTTTTGTTTAATTGAAATTCGAAGTTCATCCAGTTTAATTCAAAAACATCAAATAAGAAAAATACACAGAGACAGAGATTGTACTTCTATTTGATTTTTTGTGTCAAATTAAATAAATTTCGATTATCATTAAAATAAAATTTATTGAATATTAGCATGATAAAAATGGGAATAGTGTTTTTACCTTAATGAAAAGTTGAAATGGCCTTTGATTGCCATTGCTGGTGACGTGGACACTTGAATTCTCAAGCATGCTGAGCTGGCACGCCACGTCCCACCCACCACAATCACACCCTCCACCGGACCGCCACCTCTCCAGCAGCGGACTTGGTCCCGGGCTTTCGGCCGCCGGCAAACCGTGTCGGCCGGAAGGCATCACCACACTCATCTTCACCGGCCTCAGCTTATCACCTTCGCCTTCAGGGAATTCTATAACCATGGCCACGATTTCATGCTCCGGCCGCCGTGCCACATGATGCGCCGCCGTGTCGTACACCACAAATTCCATCACTGTGGAGTCGTAACAGGACATCTGCATTTGTCCGATGAGATGAGATGGCGGCGGCGGCGGCAACCACTCCTTGGATCCGTACGGGTTTTCAACGCCGCTGCTCTTTGTGTTACTTTTATGCAGAGAACGGAATTCAAATGCCGTCGTGTTCTTAGCATTCCGCGTCTCCTCTGCCACAAAAACGACGTCGTCGCCGGCCGGTGAGAACTCGAAGAAAGCAGGCCCGCCGGGGTGTTTCCTTTCCAGCCTGAGGACGGCGCCGCCGCCTTGTCGGAGACAAATTGCCGATGGTCGGGGGTTGCCGCCGGGCACGGATTCGACGGGATTCCCCAACGGGCTGCTCCTCGGAGATTTGATTTTCTTACCGAACATCCGTTTCATTGGGCCTGACTTGGCCGCTGCGCCGTCTTTGGGCTGCTGATGATGTCATCGATCGGAAAGTTGAAAAGATCGGGATGGAGGATTTGACTGGATCTCCTCGCGCAAAACCCGGAACTAGAGGAGGAGCACCGATTCTCCTCCTCCTCGCCGCCGCCGTCGTCGTCTGAACTACAACACAATGCGTCCACGATTCCCGACGAGGTAGCGGCGACGCTGTCGCGGGAGAACTCAATCTTCGCCCTGCTGCTGGTTTCCGGGGAACACATATTGGATCGCCGGCGACTTGATGATTCGTCGTCGAAATCGTCAAGGACCAACCCGGAGAGGCACAGATCCCCGGACTTGTATTTCCCCCTGGAAATCCTCTTCTCGAGCTTCGCACGGCGGCGCGTAGGAACCGCCGGAAGCACCGTCGTCGGGCTCGGAGTCCCGTCCAACACGCAATACTTGTCGAACTCCAAATCCATGTCTGTCGGGCCGGCCGGGATCACATCACTGACAAATCAAACCAAAATCACAACACTAAATGTTAGAACAGAGAATCTTGAATTCAAATATTCAATTTTTTTATCTTTTTGTAATACAAAGATTCAATTTTTTTTCTTTATCAAGCAATCCTTATTGACCTGATCTAAAAACAGTGAAATCCAGACTGAGAAACCAAAATGTCACTGTAAACTGCAGAAGATAATACTAGGAATCTTGGGGGGAAAAGGACAGGAAATTCAGTAATTTATTTTACAGCATTAAAAAACAGGAAAAAAAATGAAAACCCATTTACCCATTTCTACAAAGTGAGTGCAAAATTGAGAGGAATCATTTGACTGACCTCAAACCCATAAAAATTTAGAGGTCTCAGTTTTCTTGAAATTGAACTGGCAAAAAGATCCAATCTTTCAAATTCTATTGGCAAAAAATTGAGAACAGGGGAAAAGGATTAGGGAATATATGAGCAAGATCAAGAACAACGCTTCATTTCTTAATAAATTGAAAGAAATTAGTGAAAAAATGAAGAACTTTTAACCTTAAAATGCAGAGGGTTTCAATGGGAGAAATGGGCAAAAAACCCAGACTTGATCTCAGAGAAGTGAAGAAATAGCAAAACCCAAACTAGCCTTTGTAATTGTAAGAAGCCAATGATTTTGTTCAAGAAGTCTATTCACTTTATTAGCTCAAAGCCCTCATATAAGAAAAAAAGGGTTTGTTTGACAGTTGGATGTGTTCTTAAAGCAAAGATACCAAAAATCCTGTCTCACCAAGGCGCCTTTATTTCTTGAAGAACATATATGTTTGAATTGAATTTGATTTGATTTGCTGTCCAAAATTAATTAGTTTCTCCTAATAAAACACTCACCTACTCATTTCCTTTTTTCCTTTTTCATTCATTTAAAGATAAGTTTTTCTCTTTTCTGGTCTTAAAAAAAATATTATCTCCGTCCAAAAATTAATTTTTTTGTTTGGTTTACAATAATTAAGAAATATATTTTAAAAATGATTTAGAAAAAAATAATGAAATTCATATATTTTGAAACTACTCTGTATATACAAATTTCTACAATATTGTTTTCTCTATTCTAAATAGATTCTAATGATAATACATTTTCTATTTGTTAACATTTTAAACTTTTGGAGTTAAAACAAAGTTTTTTTTTCAATATGAGGAAATGAGTACATATGGTCATATAGAAGTAATGATGATAGTGCTTTGAGTCTTCCTTAAGAATTAAAATAGTGCCTTGAGTCTATTAATTATTCCGTATCATTTATTTATGGTAATTATTTAATAAAAGAGTGGAAGAAATAAATGAAATAGGAAAAAGGTAAACGTCATAAAACAATATGAATTTGAAAAAGGAAATTGAATTGGGAAATATAAAAAATTAAAAGATAACTTTTTAAGGGATATGCTATGAATCTTCTAGATAAATAATTTGATAAGATAAATTAATGTGCATTCATCATTTAACAATTTTTTTTATTAACGTGATCAGATCAACCTTAATGCAATTCGGGTAAAAGATAAAAAAGAAATCTCTCCACCAAAAATATTTTTTCCATTTGAATTTTTACGATTTTCAATGTTACATTTTCACTATATACATAAATATATTTTATAAAATATTGATATTTGAAAATTACGTTTCAATATAAAAATATTGATATTAAAAATATATTATAATACACGCAGTCAAAATCTACAAAACATTTCCAAACATCTATTAATATTAGTTAAATGGGAAGAACACTTGTAGAAGTAAAAAAATAAACACTTCAATTGCATACCGACTAATAAAAATGGGAAGAGTGGACTAAGGTCATCTCCAATGGGATGCTCAAGTGAGATGCCTAGATGAGAGAGAATGAAATGTTAAGAGATGCTACCATTGTAGGTAGATGCTCAATAAAGATGCCCAATGAAGAAAGAGAATGGAAGATGCTAGGTTGAGCACCGATGTTCCAACTTGAAATTACTACTTCCTTTAATTACTTTAATATAGTGCTCCAATAGTTTATGTGTCATGTGCCATTTTTATTATTTATTTATTTCTTTCAATACACTTCTTTAGTCCATTTTATCTTATAATTTGTATATTAAAAAATTATAGAAATTATATATTAATAATCTATATGTTAAGACAAATTAAACAAGATCACACATGACTATATTTAGGCTTACACATTGAGAGAATTTGATAAGTCAAAGTGCTTAGATGAGCAGTTTCAAAATTCAAAACTGGACGAATACTCCGGGACAGAGGGAGTAGCTTTTTCTTAGAATTAGATAGCAATTTTATCGTGTTCCAATTGCAATGACTTTTTTAAAAAAAAATTATTTTCCTATTCAGTATGACTATTGAGTGTTTTAATATAATTATAGAAACCAATTGAGTGTTTTAAAATAATTACACAAACCAACTGAGTGTTTTAAAATATAGTTTTTTTTTCATTTATTACCGTGGTGTGTTGTTAGCAATGTATTAATAAAAACTTTAATTATTTAATACTCCCTCCATACCTAAATATTTACACACTATTTAAAATTTGCAAGAACTTTTATTTATTTGTGTATTTTTCTAGATTATTTGATTAAATAAAATATTCTTTTCACATCTTGTTTTATAGAACTCTTAATGTACTTTTTAAATATATAAATTTTATTTTTTATTTATATACCAATTTTTAAATAAAAAATTAAAGATTATTTTATTTATTTGGAAGTAGGACCCACTAAAATAAGAGACTTCTACAGTGCTACTTATAATAATAATAATAATAATAATAATAATAATAATATTAATAATAATAATAATAATACTAATAACATTTTAGCAAAATAATGTTATAATTTTTTTTTGAAATCCAAAATAATGTTATAATTGATGACAGACCATGTTACACATTTGGTTGTATTACTTGTATACATTAGACCAAATGACATTTTATTCCTACTCCCCATTTTTCAAATTTACATATAAATACGTGTAAGACCAATTAACTTAAAATAATGAGACAAAAAAGCACAGAATATATTTATTTCGTCAAACAGAGTATACTTATCACAAATTCAATATAAAACCATTCTTTTTAGAACACAAAGTAAACGATTTTAATTAATGGATGAAATACAAATACTCAAATACCTTATCAGAATGTAAAAAAAATGTTTTACTTTATTTGGTCCAATCTTTTTTTATGGGTGCATTGGTTTTCAAGAGAATTTATTATGGGCTTTAAAGTATTGATGATATTTTATTTATTTAATTCATACTTTAATCTCTCCCAAAAAAATGTACTTTATTTTGGTGAAGTCATTAGAAATTATTCTGTCCATTTTTATTTGTAAAAGTCATACTCATTCTCGTAATATATACGTCCTCCGTCCCAAAATATTTGCCACACTTGTATTCCCGAAGTAAAATATCAACTTTTTTCAATTTATTTTATTTACATATTGGTATAGAAATTAAAAATAAAATTTGAATATCAATAAACTACATGAAAAGTTCTTTAAAATAAGAGGTGTCAAGAATATTTTATTTTATCAAATGACCACTGAAAACGTAGAAATAAACAAAAGTTCCCGCGACTGCTGAAAAAGCAAACGTTGCAAATAATTTGGGACGGAGGAAGTACGAAGTAGTAGTAATTACAATAAATTGCAATAAATAAATATCATGGCTAGTGCATGTCCGTTTAACAATAATTTTATCGTTTAGTTTTTTATTTAGAAAATACTATTTAACAATAATATATAGAAAACATTTTAGAAATTAATTAATGCCATTTAGAATTGTTCAAAATTCTAAAACTAATTAAAAACATTTTTCAATTGAAAAAAAAAAAACTTGAGACTAATGCTTCATAATTGATTACCATCTCTTACCATCCACAGGAATTTGTAGGCCGGGGTACACTTTTTATTTTGTTCACATTAATTGTGGTTGAAATCTATGGTTTAGTATGTATTTTCCCAAGTCCAAAAAACTTGTTTTTTAAAAGGTGAAGAACTTGTTTATTATGCAAAAAGTCAAAAATTTTGATGTTAAAGATCTTGTAATAGATTAACATAACTATGTTTACCTCAATTGGGACATCACCCTCACAAGTTTGAACTCGAGTGGACGCATACTATTTTGAGATTTGTTTAATCACAAATTCTATGGTGTACCTAAGATATATCATGGACCTCCATATGAGCAAAATAAACATCTTTAACTATTTAAATAAACATTTGTTTTTTGTTAAATAGAAAATAAAAAAATTTATGTGAGAAGATCCGCAAAAAACTATAACCGCCTAAAGTGCACCAAAGAACCACTCTTATTAGATTGAGGAAACAAATATGTACAGAATATATTGTAAGTATAAAAGTAATACTTTTAATTAAGTCAAAATTTGATTTTTTTCTCATTATTTTCATTGCTTATTTGATAAAAACACTTTGTAAAATCTTATCACATATTATAACTCTTTTTTTAATAACAAACTAGTATTCTAACCCGTGCGACGCACGGGTCGAACTAAATTTTTGTTGATTCTGAAACCTTTTCAATGCAATATTTTTCCAAAAAAATTATATAATTCTGACATGATTTTTAATTCTATAGACAAAAATGTCAAAGTAGAATAAATAATATTTGAGGAATTGAATGTGTACTCAACAAAGTTTTTTTAATACAAATTTTTATGATAAATTTCAGCTTATATAACAATTTTGGTATGGTTGCAATGGTTTCATTTGTCATTTGGAAATAATATTTTTAATCCTGTCATTATCTTGACTCTTTTGTCATCTGTTATTTATTTATTTTCAATATTTTTAATTGGTTAAAAATAATCCAACAAATGATAATATTTGACATTGACTTTGATAGTCATTGCAAAGATAAGACTATTGGAAATTGTCTTTTCTAGAATTTCAGGAGTAATTAGATCAGATGGTACTAAATTCATCTAAGGTATGTAAACTTTTTCCCTGACTGAATTTCCCAAAACCATAAAAGCATCGATAACGCTCTTTCGTAGCTCTTCAATGATTAATCTTGTAACATTACATAATTCAGATGTTTGGTCAATGTTCCCCAATAATATAATTGGTACCCCCTTTTTAAAAATTATTTTTGTGGTTTGGAATCTTTGAACATTTGAATTATTTAAAAACTCAACTGTAATCTAATCATCATCAACACCTACATCTAAACCTACTTGGCATGAAGAATCAGAACTCGGACACACCATTGCATCTTTGGGAATGAGAGATATGACATTCATTTATCATTTCTATAACCTCAAGCATGGGTGACAGTAGTCTTCTATCATCGAAAAAAGAATAACTTTCCATCGTATCCAATAAATTCAAATAAGTGAAATATACTATACTCTTTAGGGGTTAACTTGTGTCTAGAATCATCAATATGGACGGAATTTGAGATTAATCTAGTCTAGTGTTAATTTGAGATTAAAATGTTTTTTATATTTTATTTTGCATTAATATTGAAAATAAATAAAATACAAACTAACTTTATTTAAACATGTCATAAATAAATATGAATTTATTTATGGGAACAATGTTAAAGTTTAGCGTTTGCATCAGAGTTAGTGATTAACTGTTTGCATTAGAGATTAAGAAAGTATCTTTTTTTAGAGAAGGGAATCTAATTTATTCATTGATAGTTTAATTATAAATGAAATGAAAAAAATATAAAATTGGAAAAATGCTTGTATTTTCTAATAAAATTGATTTTATCTATTCCTTATTTATATTTACTCAGTAATGTTGAAAAATTGTATTATATGACTTAATTAAGAATATCATATCATAATATATCATGAAAAATTAAATATTTTGGAATTTAAATTGTCTAGTACTAAAATCAAACCATAACAATCAATATATTCGAACTATGAAATTACATATAGTATTTTTTTTTTATTTTAACACAATTATAGTCCAGTCATCACTTGTTTTATAAATAATTTAGTGTTATTTTTAAAATATTTTATATGTTTTACTTTTACATCAATATTGCAATAAATAGAATCAAAACTAACTTAGTTACTCCCTCCGTCCCCAAATAAACTTCCCCCTTCGTTTTTTCTTTGTCCCCAAATAAACTTCTCTTTTTCCTTAAAAAACCTCTTTTACCCCTTACTTTTTCATATCATGCCTATCACATCATACCTTTTTACTAATAATCTACATATCACATCTCACTTTTATACATCACATCAAGGGTATTTTTGGAAAGTCAGCACAAAAATATCCCTCCCTTAAATCCTCAAAAAGTCAAAAAGAGAAGTTTATTTAGGGACGGAGGGAGTATAACATATCATAAACAAATTTATAATACTTCGTATATTATTTATTTATGAAGAGAAAGTTTTGTTTATTATTTAAAAAAATTTCAATTTTAGTCCAGTCATATATTGATTTTTAATTTTGTAATCTAGCTATTGAAATGTATTATTTGTTTTTAATTGTACATTATTATTAAAATAAATAGAATCAAGACTAATTTCATTTTAAGTATAATAAACTAATACTTGTATGAATATTATTTAAATGTGAAAAAATCAACTTATTTATTAATAAAATTTTTTTATTAATGAAGCGAGTAAAAAATATTGTATTGTATTGGAAAGAGTATATTCATAAAAATGAATGTTTCTCTTTAACAATTAAATTTATTCAAAGATTGTATTCCAAAACATTGAATTCGCATTTTCTTTACCTTAAATTAGGTGACACATTAAGTGTCATAAAAATATAAAATTTATTTATAGGTCAAATAAATATTTTATTTAATAGGTGTCAATATTTAAATTTAAATAAATACAATCAAAGGAATATCATTTGAATGTATAATGAATAAATATAAAATTTATTTATGGGTGAGGAGTGTATTTTATTTATTATTCTAAAAATATTTTGTAAATTTTATCATTTAACGAATCCGAGACAGATGTTAAGAATATATGTACGTAGCATCCTTAAAAAATGATATTTTATTAAAAGTAATAATTTACGCGGAAAATAATTTTATTTCTAATTTTGAATTCATGGGTTCAAAATAATTAATTACTCCATATCATTTATGAAAAAAGAGTAAAAAAATGTGAAATAATAAAAGAGAGTAAATTTGGTTAAATTACCACCTAATATGCCACATGCCAAGTTCATAATGTGCCACATGTCAAGCTTTAAATATGCCAAATGTCACCTTCTTATAGAATGGAGTCTCCTTTTTATATATAAAGGATTATAACCATTTACATATTAGTAAAAACCATGGAACTAGTTTAGCATTAGTGAATACTCCGTATTAAAGAAGCTAACGCCCCAATTCAATAATAAAAAAGATATGAAGTATGGTTTTCCAAAGCCCAATTATTGTATTTCAGTTTTTTTATTTAAGCCCAATACAAAGCTGAATAAAATGTTCCGACTAGGGTTGGACACGGTACCAGTACGGTACCGTGACCAGCAACGGTACCGCCTGTACCCGTCACCGTCACCAACGGCCGGAAAGATCCACCGGTTCCAGAACCGTACTAGCACCGCCCCCCTCGGTACCGGTTCCGGTACCTAAATTTCGGTACCGGCACCGGCGGTACCGGGTCCGGTACCTATATATTATTTTTTACTTTTCCCGTCCATGGGCTGCAATTCTCAAAACTCTTGCATTTTTAGATTTTTTAAAAATGCAATTCTCAGAACTCTTGCATTTCCGCTGCAAATCTCCCACTCGGTAGTAGGACATTGATGAAACTCTTGCATTTTCCGGTTCCGGTATGCCAGTTTCTCAAAACTGTTGCGTTTTTAAATTTTTTTATTACATTCTTTCATTTAACAATTTCACATTAATAGTTTTACACTTTAAAAATTTAATAAAAAAGCAAAAATAATAATTTGGGGTGGCCGAAAATGGCCGGTTCGATCACGGTACTGGTACCAAGGGGTGGCGGTACCGGAACCGGCGATTCCGGAACCGGAACCGTCTCGGAACCGTACCATATCCACCCCTTATCCCGACTTGAACGGGTAGCCCAACATGGCAACATGTCTATCTCTAGATAGAACTTCGAAGCTTCCTTTTCCAGTTGTATTAAATTTGTTGTCTTTTTGTCACGCAAAAATATTTCACATTTAACGTTAAACAAATATTAAGAAATAGTATACTAGTTTTTTCGTTCCTATTTTGACAATAAGTTTTTCCATCTCTCTTTTTGACAATGCGATTTAGTGAAGTATTTGATAAAACAAAATATTATTATCACCTATTATTTTGTAAAACTTTTGATTTAGTTTTTTACTATATAATTTTTATTTTTTATTTATATGGACTATCAATTTATAAATAAAATGATTTTAAAAAGTGAAAAAAATTTTCTCGTAATCTTTAATTAGTAATCAAATTAAGAACGGAGAAAGTATATTTGAAATTGATGTGGAAAAGTAAAAAATAATATGGAGTATTTCGCGTTTTCTTAAGTGACAAAAGTTTTTAAAAAATTGAGAAAATGAAACTTTTTTAATACGAACGTAAAAGAAAAATTGAGAAAATGAAACTTATTTAGTTATTTATAGAGGGAGGGGATAGATTTGTCAATTACATCAATCGTCGTCAATTCGTCTTATCCATTTGTCTAGCGTGTCATTTCGGCAAATACATCCCGAAATGGGAGGGTACTTTCGTCATTCTCGGCAACCACCTTAAGCCAATTCGACGTCGATGGCGGCCGTCCCGTCTCTTCTGGTCCACTATAAACCACACAACAATTCGTCCCCAATTGGAAAATTAGCCAAAAACAGGGGGAAAAAACTATTTTCTCTTTTCCGATCTCAGGTATTTTCAGGTTAATTCGTTCCCCTTCAATCTGTTGTTTGTAAATATTTTCAGAATCATCGCACAAATAATAATATAGTTTCCCAGAATCTCACTTTTCTGTTCTTTACCGAATTTTCCTGATTCGAACTGCGCAATTTGTTCGGATTCCTCCCGCACTTGTTAGGGTTTTTATGTTTGATCTTTAAATTTATCTTCCCCTCTGTGAATAATACTAATTCTCGAGTCATCGTTAATTTTGGGGGTTTTATGTTTAGTTTACCCATCTGATGTTAGGGTTTCCTTAAAGTTTGATTTTTTTTGTTGTGGGGAAAAAGGGTTTTGATTAGTTCTCTGATTATTGGTTTATAACAAGTCTTGGTTTTTTTCTTTTGTAAGCTGTGTGGAAATCATCCATTTTGGTTGGTTTCTTCTCTTTCTCTTCTGGTTTTTAGTAGTTCAGCAGGAAGATAGATTGTGTGTTTTATGTCTTGAAATTGGACCGAAGATTGGGTGATTTTGGATATATTCTGTGAAGACTGGAATCAATGGCTGCTACTTGGTGTCTTTTGAGTCCCCTTCCAGTTCATGGTGGGAAGGAAAAGAAGCCACTCGGTGCTGGTGTGTGCCGCGGTGTTCAGTCTTTAAGATTTCTTCGGTGTCCGAAACTTGTCCACAAGAGATTATTATGGGCCGACCGGATGTTGGGTCGTTTTCCCATAAGAAGCCAGGTGATGCAAACGCCGTCCATGGATAAAATGGTTGAATCGGATGTAGACCGGAGGCCATGGCCACCAGAGAACAGGGTAGGTAGCCCGGCCATTCATAACCCGTTGATCCGTCACGAGAGACTGGGTTGCGGATGGTTGGCTGCTGTGTTTGAGTGGGAAGGTGTGCTGGTCGAAGACAACCCCGACCTCAAGAGGGAAGCCTGGTTGGCTCTTTCTAGGGAAGAGGGGAAACCCCCGCCGCCGGCTTTCATACTCCGGAGAATCGAGGGGATGAAGAACGAGCAAGCGATATCCGAAGTTCTTTGCTGGTCAAGGGACTCTCTCGAGACAAAGAGAATGTCGGCCCGGAAGGAGGAAATCCACCAAGCCCTACACTGCGGGACCCACCGCTTCCGTCCTGGGTCCCGCGAATTCATCGACACTCTGACGCATCACAACATCCCGACGGCTCTCGTCTCGACCCGCCCGAGATCCACGGTCGAGGCCGCAGTCCGATCCGCGGGAATTAGAGAGGAACGGCCCTTCGGTGCGGTCGTGGCCTCGGAAGACGCCCACCGGGGGAAGCCGGACCCGGAAATGTTCATCCACGCGGCGCGGCTTCTGGGGATCGTGCCCCAGAGGTGCATTGTCTTCGGGAACTCAAATCTGACCGTGGAGGCCGCGCACGATGCGCGGATGAGGTGTGTTGCGGTTGCTAGCCGGCACCGGGTGTACGAGCTTGGCGCGGCCGACTTGGTCGTTAAGAGGCTCGACGAGCTCTCGGTTGTCGACTTGAAGAAGCTCGTGGCTAAAATGGACGAGTTCGAGGTAGAGGTCGAGGAAGAAGATGATGGGCCGTATCGTTCTTTGGCCGTCGGTGTCGCCGATTTGTGGTAATTTGTATCTGTTTGTACAGCATAATAGCAGTTCTTACTGTGTTTAATCTAGTTTCCATAGGAGGAGGAGGATGAGATATAGATTAAAGAAGCTTTACACTGAATATCAAGAAAGTATATGTGAAAAAAAAAGAGGTTAAGGGGCCACAGGGATAAAACCAAAGTTGACGCCACCGGAAATGGTTACACACAACATTTGTTGGGAAAAGTTTGGTGTCATGTGTGGTGTGATTATAGTATGATTTCATCAAAAGCTAATAGTGTGTGTAAGTTTTATGTTGTGCAAATATGTGTATCATATGAGATATCACTGCTTGTTATGCAATTGTTATAAAAGTACATATGTACGTAGTATTTGTCATTGTATTATATATTTATATTCTTGGTGTTTCTTTATGTTTTGTTTATAAGCTTGTCAAAAGTGCTTATAAGTATTTTTTTTAATTTATAAGTTGGTTGATAACATGTTTTTGTGTGTGTTTAAAAGTTGACTTATAAATTACTTATAAGCCAAAAAATGGGTTTTAGTTACTTATTTTTATGTTAGTTTTTTCGTTTCTCTGTTTTGATCAGATTATTTAAAAAATTGTTTCTCACCATTTATGAATATCTTTAAGTAAATTATCCATAATTTAAGTCACTTTATTTTCATGAAAGACATTTGACTTATAAGCAGTTTATTAGTTAAACATTATTTATTCACAATAAGTCAAAAAGTACGAGAAACACTTTCATTATATGTTCTATACTTGCATGTTTTCACAAATTATTGATAAAGTAAATTTTTTTGTCACTTCTTATTTTGTAAACCTTTTGGTATATTTTGTAAATATGTATTCTTAAATTTTATTTTTCATTTTTATATCAATTTATAAATAAAATGTTTTTAAAATTATAGAATTTTTGATTATTCAATTATGGAATACCAATTTGGGACTGAAATATCATTTTGGGTGAGTGCAGTATAGAAGGCTCAAAATTATAAATGACACACCTATGCTATTTAATGAAAGAATAATGCATTTGTGATTGTAAGAGGCATATATGAAATATAAATCTTTTTGCATATTTTTCATAGATTTATAATTGGGTATCTTTTTTTTCTACAAGGTCCAATATATATATAATCACTTCATATGAGAAAGTTCATAAAAAAATTGTGAACTTGAGGATAAAAAAAATGTTTTAATCAAATGATCGATGAATATATTTATATTCAAGAAAAATTAATTAGATCTTATAAAAATAAGTTTGCATTAAGGCACGCACTAACATTATTATGCACGTGGATTCATATCAAGCGGTTCCATACCAATACACTACCCATCAATTAAGTCTTCAACATACCCTACCCTCTTGGATAATCCATTTATTTATGAAAGAACATTATTCAAAAAATCATCCTAACTTTGTACATAGTTAGATTTTCAAAAGGTGGTGATTGTTGATTTATAAAGTAATATGCTTTTAGAATACCAAAGCAAAGCCGTTATTCCACAATCTCCAATAAAGGTTAAATAATAACACTAAACTCCATAAAGTTACCTTCCCGAATTGACATGCCCATTTGAATATTTCAAAAAAAACATTTGTAAACATTTTCTTGTTTGACTGCATAACTTTAATTTGAACGCCTTAAAAAATAACTTGAACCATCAGGATTTAAACGAAATTTATATACCTCATCGTCATGAACGACAACCCTCATCGATTCACCATTTCTTCCAAAAGGCTGAACGTGATAAACACGAATAGCTCGTACGTGGATAAAATGTTGCTGTGGTCCTTTTCGAGCTCACCAAGATTGGTAAAGAGACTAGGGAAAACACATTTGGGAGTCATATATATTGAAAAGATGAAATTTTAAAAACCCTTTGATGGTGGGGAAATGAACTGAAGGTATTGGGCAAGGGTTATTTATAAACATTAAATTCGAACATCCATTTTAGGGAGAAAGCAATGATGATTTTACACTCCATCCCATCACACTTTTGTGGAACGCTCATTCTAGGCGACCTCACACTCCATTCTGAGAGGATTGTGAGGAATAAATTATGGTATAATCTCAATCTTCTCTTTAAAGAGATCATTATGTGGTCGGTGCACAGTACACAAGAAACTATTACAAAGAATAGAACTCACACACTGCTTCTTAGAAGTAATGAATTTCACATCTTCTCATTGGATCAGTTGAGCTACCCATGCAAGCATATTCCATCATACTTTTTGTGGTTCAACCACAAGTGGACAACTTGTGTCAAGTCTAATTTGTGACTGCATCACATACACATATGCTTTGAGTAGGGGTGAGCACGGTACGGTTCCAGTTCCAGAATCGACAGTTCTGGTATTGCCACCCCATGGAATCGTAACCAGTGATGGTGATACGAGCACGTATCGGTCGGGTAGGCTTCGAGCGCCTCCAAGCTCCAGAAAAATAAGAAGAAGGAAGAGAGAAGAAGAAAGGGAGAAGGGGAAGGGTGGCGGCAGAAGCTGCACGCCGGGAAGGGAGGTTAGGGTTTTAGGGTTTTACTTTATTCATGATCTCCAACCAATGATTACATCAATATATATAGCGGAACCCTAATTCCATTTAAACCTAATTAACTACGTTTTCTACCCTGACGGTTCAAAAAAAGCGACGAGGTAAAGAACCGTAAAGAAACCCTCGAAGGAGCTTATTTCGCTCACCTAAAAAAAACTAATACAATAAAAGAATAATATAACTTAATTAAATAAATAATCCTTGTGCCATGCCGGGGCCGTACGGGCTCGCCGTGCTCTCCCGTTGCTCCCAGCCCGTGTCGTCCCCGTACTCGCCTGCTCGCCCTCTCCGTCGTCCTCGTCCCATGCATGCATGCGCTCGTCCTCCCCAGTGTTGTTCCTTGTCGTATCAGATGGATTGGACATTGTCAACACCAGTTCCAGTACCAGCGATTCCGGTACCGGTTCCGAGTCAGTAATCAATGATTCCCTTGTTTTTTAAATATATGAATATATCATTATAATAATATATTAATATAGTAATTATATTGAGAATTTTGGAGAATTCAAAATTAGAGAGGGATTGAGGGCCTGTTTGGTGACGACGTTTTGACATTATAATGCTAAAACATAGATTGTTAGTGTTTGTTTTCCGTCAAAATGGGGAGCCTTTTCGTCGTCCAAATTTCCCGTACTGCTAATCGCAAAAGGCTCCTCCCCTCCAGCGTTCCAGCACAGAGTTTAGGCTTTGTTTGGATTTGAAAGGAAAATGAGAGGAAAGAAAATGAAATGAAAGAAAATGAGAGGAAAGAAATTGGAGAGAAAATGAAAAGAAATTAATTCCTGTTTGGATAGGTAATGAAGAAGAGAAAATGAGAAGAGGAAAGAAAACATAATTAAGCTAAAAGACATTAATGCCCTTATCATAAAACAACAAAAAGTTAAATAAAAAAGGTGTACTTCATAAATTAGAAAAGAGGCAAAGGGCGAACATGTCATTTCATGCATTTTCTCTCCAAAAGTGAAGAGAAAATTTTTTAAGGCTTTTTTCCACTCTTTTTCTTTCTTCTTCCCATTTTCTATTGCAAACAAACAAGAGAAAAGGTCTAGAAACTTGTGTTTTCCTTCCTCCACTTTTCTTTCCTTCCAAAATCTCCTCATCCAAACACATGCTTAGCGTTTGAGGCAAAATTTCCACTTCTACCCATAAGAGTTTTACAGGTCTCTGATCTTTCATTTAAATTTCTTTCTCAAGTTGGCAGTCCCTCGGCCCCCACCCCCTAAAAATTGAAGCTTCAAAGGTCTCTGATCTTTCAATCCATTCACTGAATTAATGGAATGTCGGCGCTTGGACTTTATAATTTTTAATACTTCGTATTTGAGATCTGCACTTAGGTATAGAAGCTTAATGGATATTTTAGTAATTTGTAGTTCATTAGCCTTTTAGAATCTTCAATTACCAAACGGTAAAAGATGAAAATGCTAATCATTAACTCTGGTGTAAATAGCTAAACTCTAACTCTAAACTCTAACACTAAACTCTAACTCTAAACTCTAACTCTTTTTCCAAACGGACCCTGAGAGAATATGTTTTGTGATTTTTTTAAAAAAGATTAGGGGTATATATATGTTAAATTTGACCCCCCACCCTCAAACCCCCACCCCCACCCCAACGGCTTTAATAGTCGTTCTGCATACTGCAGGCACTTTGGAGTTTTTCCGTTTCGACTGTTGGAAAGTTGGCTGACCCAGGAAAAATTACGACCCGGAACGGCGGAACCAGACCTGTGTCCACCGGTTCCGGTAACGGTACCGGGTACCGTCTCCTCGACAGGCTCTAGTGCATGGCAGAACCGCCGATTTTGGCGCAGGTATCGGTTCTGCACCAATACCGTGTCCACCCCTAACTTCGAAAAAAACAAGGAAAAAAGTTCTAGACGTGTACTCTATCATACTTCATTCCTTTCAAATTAATATTCCTAATATGACTAGTTTTAAAAAAATTAAATTTTGTGGTTGAAAAATGATGTAAAAAAAATAAAAAAGTTGAAGTACAAAAAACTTTCCAAAAAAGAAAGAAAAGAATAAATTTAAAACAATTCAAAAAAGAAATAAAGACAATTATCTCTCCAATTTTTATTCCTCATCGTGGAATGCCACTATTTTTTAAGCTACAAAATGTTAACAGAAGGAAAGGAATACTACTCCTAGAGTCCTAGTGCATGTGAACAATATTTCCACATGGTGTCCACCACAAAGAATCTTACAATTTTTTTTAAATATTTCTTTTGGTGCTACACTTCTTAAATTTAGATGTTAAAGAATATTTTTCTATTTTTTAAAGTGACTTATGGATTATATTTATATTTCTCATATTCGTTACATACCCCATAAATTTTTTCAAACATTATTCACAAAGTCAAATTTAACACATTTTGTTCGTTTATTTGTACTACTTATTTCATAAAGTAATTTACTCTTATCACATAGTTTTATAGAATTTTTAATATAGTTTTATATTATATGCAGAGTAATGTTTTTAAATTTTACACATACAATCAACTAAACTTTGAAATGTGTTTGTAATTTGTTAATGCCAATATTGTTCATACCATATTTCTAGAATCTTTTTTGTCATATTTCATTATATATAGAAATAATAAACTAATTTAAAACGATTGAGAAAAATACCCGGAATAAACAAATACTGCAAATCTAGATGGGGGAGTGATTTTCTAATTTTTCATTAATTATGAAATATACAAATACATAATTGATGTTTATTTCTTTTTTTGTTAGGAGTAGAATATAAACTACCAAATGAAATTCTAGAAACCAAAAAGGATAATCCTAGGGGTAGACAAAAACGAGGTGCTCCATTTATATATCAAGTATTTACAAAAGTATTATGAAATGCAAATATACAATGTTACATTATCATATTGTGAATTCATATTTTAGAAATAAAATACGGAACCCTTATTTTGGTATTAGGTTTATTTTAAAATATAAAGTTTTATAACATTTAATTATTTTAAACTATATTTAATTCGTAGTAAAAAAGTGGCACAAAAGTTTGATAAAAAATGTCAAACGGTCTGACGAGGTATTTATGGCCTGGATCTCTTCCAATCATATTCTTTTATTATAATGTAATATTTTAATTATTTCATTTGTCATATTTATTGAGATCCATAATCATAGAAGGTTATTCTCATTCCTTGTACGTAGCACTCATCACTGCTTAAACACAATTAATAAACCAAATTGGAAGTGTATACCAACCTTTTTCGCGGCGTGGAATGGTCATGTTGCATACATTTTCTGGTAGTGTGTTATGCCTATGTTCTGGGCAGTGTGTTATGGTTCACAATACTTAACTACACTTTCTGACAATGTGTTATGTACATATTTTGAAACTGTATACCAACTTAGGGGCTGTTTGGCAACTTTTGAATTGGTAAGTGCTGAACCAGTAGGAGGTCTGAATTGGTAAGTGATGAACCAGTAAGAGGTCTGAACCATTAAGAGCTAGTATATTGCTTAACTATTCAGAGGCAAATGTCTGATCAATTCAGATAAGGGGTCTTAACCATTCAGACTCTGTATAATACTTAATCATTCAGAGGCAAATGTCTTAACCGTTCAGACATCTGAACCATTAAGAGGCTGAAACAAACAGTCTGAATCATTAAGTGCTGAACCATTCAGACATCTGAACCATTAAGAGGCTGAACCATTTTAAAACTCAAATTCTTTCATTTTTTCAAATATCTCCAAACAGGTCCTAAGACTTTGATTTGGGAACAATGATCATTTTGTAAATTGTTACATGAATTGTATCATTAGTTCAGTATTTCTATTACTCGTATTTTGCTATCATTAACAAATTATAGTGAGATACTCATATTTTTTAGGTTATTGCATTATAATCCATCCATCCCAAAATAAAAATTATGTTCGATTTAGGATGTTTAATTAAAAAAATTTTTAAATTAATATAAGTAAAATTTGGTGTTAAATAAAAATTATATATTCTATAATAAAAACTACACAAAAAGTTCTACATAAAAAAATAATAAAGACAAGTATAGAATGTAAGGATAAATTTAACATCCATACTTCCAATACTATATTGGATACTTTAATCATATATTAGTGCTAAGACATACTTTTCCCTATTAAGTAGTAAAAAAGTATTAAATATTCATAAAATACATGTACTAATGTACTATATACGCTTAGAGCTTCTTTTCTTATTAGAAAATCAATAAAAAGTAGATTAATGGCAAAATAAAAAGATATCATTGAAATTTATTTTTAAAAAGTAGTCTAAAAAATGAAAAAAATATTCTCAGATGAATCAAAAAAGAAAATAGAAAAAAACATTCACGAAAGGGGGTATTTTTTAGTGTGATTTATTTTGATAAAAATAGAACAAGGACCATGCTATATTTACACTAAAAAATATACCCCATTTGTACACCACATGTTTGCACAAATGTTTCGATGGTTTACACCGACATAAGTGTTGGTGCGTTAGTAAAAATTCACAACAAATGTTGATGCATTTAACAAAAATTAGTTTATGTTGGTGCAAAACTGCAGAGGGATGAAATGATTAGGGAGGATGGGTTTTATGACTTTATTCCGATGAGCAGCATTTCCTTGTCCGTTCGCCATTTTTAGCGCTTCTTCATCTCCCTCACCTAAAATTCTTCTCATCTGCCGCACCAGTGTTCTCCGCAAATACTCACCCGTTTCCACAGCCTTGGCCGGACTTGCATTTCAAGCAATTCATCAGTTCACCGCTCTTCAATCCCGCCGTTCGCCGGTCAATCTGCAAGCACAAACCCTAGAATTTCTGTTCCCTGGTCGCTGAATCCAGGTAATTTCTACTTTTTTTGGCAGCTTATGAGGGTTTGTAAATGAAAATTCGAGTATGGAGTGCTTTCGCAGTGGTTGATCATTGGTTTTTGAGCCCTGATTGGTTTTCAGGAGTAGGAAACATGCCGTTGATGTCCCGGGCTGGGACGTCATATTGCTTGCGTCCAGATATGATTAGATGTAATGGTGTTATGAAAAATAATGTGAGGACAACACTTCAAGCAAATGGAGTTAGCTTGGGTTACTGTTCATCAAATAGAAGGAGAGGGTTGCATTTAGATTTCTCTGGATCCGGAACTAGGCGACGATGCAAGTTGATTGTTGCTGCAAGTCCTCCAACAGAGGATTCTGCTACTGCGGCCGAACCTTTAACGAAAGAAGACCTTGTTGGATATCTTGCTTCCGGTTGCAAGACAAAGGAGAAATGGAGGTTCACTTTTTAGCCTTCTTTGGTACTTTAGAACTACGAAATGCTTCTTTCTAGCCCCTGTCACACCCAATCTCCTGTAAAAGTAGAATATGCTTTGTGTTGATGCTGCTTTCCAAACTTATACTCTGTTAATGTGTCTTCAGTTCAACATTTAATCCAGGAATCTAATTTGTTCTGTCAATTTCAAAACATCTATAACCATAGATCATGTCTTATGTTTGAAACATAAATTGTGTTAAGTGCATGATATGGGATCACATGAAGGGACAAAAGACTTGACTTTTTTGTTGCTGTCAATCTTGGCTCTACAGGATAGGTACAGAGCATGAAAAGTTTGGTTTTGAGTGTGAGACTCTGCGACCCATGAAGTATGAACAAATAGCCGAGTTGCTTAATAGCATTGCCGAGAGATTTGACTGGGACAAGATAATGGAGGATGAAAAAATCATTGGACTAAAACAGGCATTAATTTTGTATTCTTGTTTTTTTTAAATTTAATTTTTTACATTGGATTATGCAGTTCAGATCTCATAGTCTGAGTTAAATAGTTCTGGATTTCATGTCCCTGCTCATAGTCATGCACAAAGTATTTCACATACCACCTTTCCGCCAATAGCTTACTGAAGCTTATATTGCCAATTTTTAAAGAAAAAAGTGTGATTCTACTAAGCGCTTGGTTTGATATTTTGTATTTGCAGGGTAACCAAAGCATATCGTTGGAGCCTGGTGGTCAATTTGAGCTTAGTGGTGCACCACTTGAGACTCTGCATCAAACTTGTGCAGAAGTTAATTCACATCTTTACCAGGTATTACTAAATTAAGGAGTACCATTTTCTTTTAGTTGGTTGGATGTGGTAATCAAACTGCAAAATGCCACTTACTGAATCTATAAAAGTTAACAAATTGATAAGCTTTAGAAGTAAAATATTTACTATTTCACATGAAGTACAAAGTATTTCTACTAATGGCATTTTATATTGTAATGCTTATTGAGTTATTGTTCTTGCTCCTTCCCAATTTTAACAAATAAAAAAGACACCTGAGTTTGTTGGGAACACAAACTCTGTTGGTAATTCGGTCCTAAGCCTGTTCGTGAAGTGACAAATGGTGGAAGAGTAATTTAGAAATATGCTTCTTATGATTTTCCTTCCCTATTGTGATTTTGATATTTACAATTTTTACTACACATTCCAGACTTCTATTTTCTGTTTGTTTTCCTGATCAACTACACATCCAAGCACTTGCATTTCAACAAAGCTAAATGACACATTTTTATAAGCCACATGAGTTGCTTGTCATCATAACTCATAAGCATATTGTGCCATCAAATTTGGGAACTATTGAATATTCTATTGGTATTTAATGTAATTGGATTTTGATTTGTTATCACAATTTTAAACTAATTGCTCAGTGAACTCTTAAGTCTTCTAGTGCTTTTGGAGTCAACATGTGGCCACCACGTCCATGTTTCACACATTCAAGCTACATGAACTATTTAGATCATTGACACTTAAATGCTGACTGAGCTATATTAACACAAGTGATGTATATTGCATATCTGCATCTATTTAATCCTCCCAATTCTCATGAGGTTTTACAGATCTACCGTCTTTACTGAAATCTGGGAGCAATGTCCATGTCCATGCTTATGTCTGGCCTATTTTCACTTTGATCTGTCTTAATTCCGATTAGTTCATGTCATTGCATTAGGCCCTAGTGCAGGGCCTACAGCATTGCACTTGATTATTAAAATGCTGATAATGACACAGGTAAAGGCTGTTGCAGAGGAGATGGGAATTGGATTTCTTGGAATTGGTTTCCAACCAAAATGGGGACTCAAAGACATACCAATAATGCCAAAGGTATATTAGTATGCTTATAATCCTTTCAAGCAATATGATAAAAAAACAATTGATATGTTCTACTGTTGGAAAGCCCATTTGTCTTCAAAGTTGCAGCCCAATTTATTCTCATGTACTATTTTGCTAGTCATGTTGTTCTGCTATGAGTTTTGATTAACTTTTTCCCATATTAATAGATCTGTTTGGTTTAGGGGAGATATGAGATCATGAGAAAGTACATGCCCAAAGTTGGCTCACTTGGACATGATATGATGTTTAGAACGTGCACAGTTCAAGTATGTGATTTCTCTCGTTCTCTCTTTTCTTTATCTTTCTAGTGTGCTGTGTGCATCCGAGTATACTTCATATAGTTGTGTTTTCTTAGGTGAACTTAGACTTCAGTTCTGAAGCTGACATGATAAACAAGTTTCGTGCTGGTCTTTCGTTGCAGCCTGTGAGAAATCATGACTTCGTTTCTGCTTTGCTGAATGTTTTTTACAAGTACTTTAATTTGAAGTTTTCTTTTTTTTTTGGGGTCTAATTTACCTAACTAGAAGATGTAACAGATTGCTACAGCTTTGTTTGCAAATTCACCTTTTACTGAAGGAAAACCCAACGGTTATCTAAGTATGAGAAGGTTTGTAGGTGTCAGTTTTGAAGGATTATTCTAGAGCAAAATATGAACTGTGCGATGAATGCTGTTGTTAAATGTAACTTTTTTTTTGTTTCACCAGTCACATCTGGACTGATACAGATAGAAATCGCACTGGGATGCTTCCCTTTGTCTTTGATGATTCATTCGGGTAAGCATGCATTCATTCTTGTAGTTTATTGTAGACTTTTGTTCTTATGCAGATTGACTTTGAAAATTTTCTTGTTATCGGGCTATGGAAACTCAATCCATGTTTTCTAAATGAACTTATCAGCATCTTATGTCATTGTGTTTCTATTTTTATTGGTACAGGTTTGAGCAGTATGTAGACTATGCACTCAATGTCCCTATGTATTTTGTATATCGAAAAAAGAAGTATATTGACTGTACTGGAATGTCATTCAGGGTAATCCATCATGTTTAACAGTTTCATCACTGAGTAACCAATCATCCTTTCGTCATCAATTTTACTAGCTTAACCAACACTAAGCATTCACAGGATTTTATGGTGGGTAAACTGCCTCCTATTCCAGGAGAATATCCTACACTCAATGATTGGGAAAATCACTTGACAACAATATTTCCAGAGGTGTGCCCTATTTTAAATGTTTGCTTATAAAATGTGGAGTTCTATATAATTTCCGGTACTTGGTCATTTACTTTCTTCCAGGTCAGGCTGAAAAGATACTTGGAAATGAGAGGTGCTGATGGAGGACCTTGGCGAAGGTTGTGTGCATTGCCTGCTTTTTGGGTATGTGGTTGTTGTAATGATTACTCCGTATTACCATAATTTTTCTGTGTCAATCTGTCTAGATTTAAACACTATTGAAGTATAGTTTAATGCAAAAAAAAGTGGCAAAATTTTATGTCGGAAGCTCTTTTTACGAACGAATAACTATATGAGATTTCAAAAATCTTGATCCCCAAGATTTTATCCACTTGGAAAAAATATAATGTTTCAATCATTAATGAGTTGAGGTAGTTGCTATAGTCATTTCAATTACAAGAACAAGATTGATGTTGTAGAATCAGCATGTACATCATGCTTATGGGACACACTAAGCTTTGTGCTCTGAGTTTGAGTATGATTCTTCTCTGGGAAAGGTACCTCGATTCTGCTTATCAACTCATTATAGGAATAATAGGATAAATGGTTGTTTATACTAGAGTCCTGTTCATTAATACTGAAAAACATGACTCATTTAGGGCTGTGGGCAGTATATTATTGCAGATTTCTCTTAGAAAATTATCAATATCGTGTTGATGATCTACAATTCTCAGGTGGGTTTATTGTATGATGACCTATCTTTACAAAGTATTATCGATATGACAGCAGATTGGACTACCGAAGAAAGAGATATGTTGAGGAATAAGGTAACAAGTCTATGAAAAATATGAATTCTTACAATGTTTATGCTCTGTATTATTTACACATAGAAGGCCAGAAGCATATATATTAATTTTGAAAGAAACTGTTCACTAAAAGCTCTGCTATTAGGTGCCTACAAGTGGTTTGAATACACCATTTCGAGATGGTTTGCTCAAGCACGTTGCTCAAGATGTGCTAAAGTTGGCAAAAGTGAGTATACACACGTGTGACTATATAGCTGGTCACACCATTTAGAAATCGGTGCGATATTTATTTGCCTCTAGTCTCCTCATTAACCAATCTGGCATGCAGGGAGGCCTGGAAAGACGAGGCTTTAAGGAAACAGGATTTCTGAATGAAGTATCTGAAGTGGTCAACTCAGGTAAATATTACTTCCAGTCATGTTTGAAATGGTTCTTGTATTTCTTAAGTGTTAACAAGTTGCATGAGTTAGTGTTTTCCATTCAAATTATTTGCGGAAACATCATTTTCAACTTCGCCTTGTCTTAGGCAAGTGTATACTTAATATTGTTCTCATGTTGGACAGCACAGTTATTATCATTTTTTTAAAAAACTTAACCGTTTAACTTTTGACCTAACTTATCCATTTGACTTAACTTGAAAAACTTAACTTATCCATTTGACTTTTACTGGTACAGAAAAAGTCTAAACAAAAAAGTCATATACTCATGTTTTGGCTGGGTAAAACTCAATTAAATCATTTATCAGTTTATTTGTTTAACTAAATTTATCATATACAAATGCTCCCTCCTCTGCCCCATAAATTTGTGATTTTTATATATTTTGGCAAAAAAACCTAGCTATTTATGGTTTGATCAACCTATTTGGTTTTTGAAACATCCTATCGGCTTGATTCAAAAAGCACGATTTTAACTTTCTTTTTAGGCATTACCCCCGCGGAGAAGCTCCTGGATCTGTACTATGGTAAGTGGGAACAGAATGTTGATCCTGTTTTTGAGGAGCTGCTTTATTGAGGATAACAGAGAATCCATTTAAGCCCTGTTTGGTGTTTACATTTGTAATGCAACCATTCTTCAACTTTCTGAACAAATGCTGTGCATACAGCCAAACAGAGCTGCGTGTATTGAATAGCACTGAAATAAATAAGGCTCAGCCGGGTCTCTATTCGGATCCAGTTTTCCGAGTTGCATTATACACTAACCTTGTCTGGCTAGCTAGCTGCTGTGTTGGCTGTTTGTTACTTTGACTGGTTGATTTTATTACCTCTTTAAGAAGTTATGGTAAAAGTATTCGTTACTTTGTACCAAATTGGTGCTGTCATCCTTTGTTCCAAATTCTCAATGTACTATTTTAGGATCACGATAGTTTTTCTTTAATTTAACATTTTTATTAATAATTTGATAATATAAAATAGTAATGTCATTTCTTATTTTACAGAACTTCTGATTGTAGTTTTAAATTTAATAAATTGCATAAATGATCTCTTAAAAGTTAAAAAAAATTGGTTTTCTATATTTAATTTACAATTCTAAAATATTTTATTTGTGATCCTCAATTTTTGAAAATCGTTCCATAATTAATTATTTTGGCGAAATATGATCAAATATTTCTTTTCCCATGTGTAGCCCCCAAATGATTATGAAATAAATTTGAAAAACTGAGAATAACCAATGTACGTAATAGCTTAGAATTAGGATTAAATGTAGAAATATATCTATTAATCCGTGTAAAAGATCATTTATAAATATATACAAGTTTTATTTTTATATGCATTTTAAAATATTTTTAATTTTAAAGTCTTCATTATAACTCTTTATTTGAGAATGAAGTATTAAAATATTTATCCGTACTATATTCTCCTCTCTTTTTCATATTCTTAGCTTTTTTCAAGTTTGAAAGGTGACCCTCCAAAACCTACTTTCTAAATGAATAAATACCAAAGGTAGACACAAGACACCACCTCAAATGATTTGAGATTTGTGATGTGTTTCACGGTATAGTAAAGAGCTTCTTTAGGAAGTTTTGTGGAATAATGCTTTTAAACGAGTGATTTATTTTTTAAAAAAAAAAGTATTACATGCATCAAAATAGTTATTTTGACCTTGGTACAATTAATGGTCCTCAGGTCATTATGACTCAACACACCAACAATGATCTGTTAATAAAATTAATAGTTCCTTCTCTTAACATTCCCACCAACCCTTTCCAATTTAGTCAATTGGCTACAATATTTACTGTAGTCAATCGGCAAATTTGGGAGGAGTACAAGAGGTGCTAAGAGCATATAATTGTGGGAGGTGGGGTTTAAGGAGTAAGAACCATCAACTTTACCAACGAAACACCTTAGGTGTCGAAGTTATAATATGATCTGAGATTTTAAGACCAAAAGATCTTGCTCGTAGTCTTTGTAGATGCATACCACATTTATAATAAATTTCTTTTACGATTAAAATTTAGAACAAAACATACAACTTACAGCAAAATAGAAAATCTATTTGTAAAATTCAAAAAAAGAGGGCATTAAACTTTTAAAAAACTTTATTCTTTCATCTTTGGTTACCAAAAAAGAATAAACTATCACTATAAAAAAAGTTGAGAATATAATACTCCCTACTCATTACTCCGTATTAAATTCTTACGCTAATGTTTACTTTTAAGTATATTCGCTTCATTTAATCGAAATTTTTTAATTTTCGAAGGCTTCGTTTTTTAAATAAGGTATGCATGGTAATACACGTTAACATTTTATTTAAAATTTTGAATGATGCGGTAAAATTTTAAAACCACCATTGAATATTATTTTTGAAATATTGAAGTTAAAATCTAAAATTAAATCAAGCAGAACCAAAACCTATGTGCATGGGACATGATAGATTAATTTACATTATTTAAATAATGACACAAGATACGAAATTACTCATATACTAAACATCTATTATTAGGCAATTGAAAGAACACTATTTGTCATTAGTATCCATTGTTTTTAAAAGTCAAAAGAGTTTAACATTCAATATTTACACTCCATATACTATAGCCTAGCATATTTTAAATGGAGATCAATCAAATGTGAATTGATTGAAGTGGGAAATGGGAATATATCATAACAACCAATGAATACGTTGAGGAAAATGACATACCTACAAAATATATAGCTTGATATATACTCCCTCCGTCCCGTGAAACCTTTCTCCTTTCTTTTTTATCCGTCCCACAAAAAACTTCTCATTTTTATTAAAAAGTCACTTTTATTCCTTACTTTTTCATAACCTAACTATCATATCATACTTTTTTTTACTAATAATCTATCCATCAAATCATACTTTTACCCATCACATCAAAGGACATTTTTGGAAATTCAATACCAAAATACACTCTCTTAAATTCCTCCTAAAAAACAAATGTCTCATGTTTCACACGACGGAGGGAGTATATGATTTATTAGAATGACATACATACGAAATATATAATATACGTGTAACAATCACATCTAAATGTATATATAATTATTTACATCGATAGAAACACACATGTGTGTTTGAGAACCTTTTCCTATTTAGATATTCTAAACTCTACCATTTGTACATCCATTTGCTATATATATAGCCTTTCTTTGTCTATTGTTTTCATTCACCATTTAATTAACTAATTAATCATTCCACCATTAAAATTTGAAACCACTAGAGTTCTTCTTCCCTTTTTGGTTGCTGGATCCAAAAGGTCAATTCTTACTTCCTCTTCTATTTTATGGGAAGTGTTAATCAAAATTGAATTTTGCAAAAATAAAGATAAAATATTGTGCAATTGCTTAAATGATCCTCATATAGAAATGTATTTCTATTGGCAATATATATAATTTTAGGCTAGAAAATGTATCGATAAGCTAAATAATTATTGATATTGTGAACCACATATGCATGGAGTATCTATGTACCACACATCCAAATATATGATGTTTTCTATACATCCACATGAATACTTATTTTTGAGTAACTGAATATTCATGTTTGAATAATTGAATACTCATATGAATTAAAGCATAACTGAATTTAAAAAAAATTATTATTTAGTTACTCAAAAATTAGTATTTAGTTATTTGTAAATGAGTATTCGTCACAGATGTACATCGTACAATCGCTTTTACGGTATATATTGTGCATACACATGTTATGACATGTTTTATCATCAATTTACTTTGAAAAAAATAATTGTATGTTTCATCTTATTACTCTCTTGGACATAAATTTCCAGTAATTAGTTTCAATTACATCTTTTATCTAGAAAGAAATGAGGATTTTTAGAATAGAAGTATTTTACTTCATTATTTTAAGGCCAGACCTACTCTTCAATAGCTTTTTTTGCTTCATCTATTCGAAATTATTTGTTCTAGTTTGACTTTTATTCTAATTTTAATCATAATTTAAATATTATTTTAAATAAATTGAAGTAACAAGAATTTTTTTTTATACATCAAAACCACATTTTAAAACAAACCAAGTTATAGTAAATTTAAATTATAATTAAATACTCCGTATTATTTTTTCTCAGAACTTAGGATTAAAATTAACATATAAATCAAACTAAGACGAATAATCTGGAACAAAAGATTAGTTTTTACTAGAGCTTTTATTTTATTTTTGGAAAGGACAAATCTTTTTTTAGTACTACCAGAGCTTATAATAACTTGCATTGTTTTTTTTTGGGGGGGTTTTTTTAAATTTTATTTTTACTTTAATTTTCGAGTCTATTCAAAAACCGGCGGGTCTGGTTGAACGGAACCCAAAAGAACATTTGACGGTAGTTGGCCGTTACCGCCTCCCTCCATTTTCTCGGTTTAGGGAAGAAAACCTGAAGAAAATTAGGGTTTCAGAGACAAATCGAGACTTGTTCAGTTCGTTTAAGAAATCGAGCATGAGAAAATTAGGGTTTCAGAGACAAATCGAGACTTGTTCAGTTTGTTTAAGAAATCGAGCATGAGAAATTGGATGTTACTGTCCCCCATAGTCAATCTAATTCCGTTCCCGGCGATGTCAACAGTCTCCGAGCTTCACTGGAAGCTCCGGCAGCCAGAAACCTATACGGCTCTGAATGATCCATCTCATTTCCGGCCAAATTTGGGCTACCCGAATAGCGATATCAAACAATGTAAATCTGGTCCGTCATGGGATGACTCGTATGAGCTTCTGAAGGCGAGGAAATAGTTAATCATATAAAGGCTTCTGTATTCAATCCCTTGATGAATGAGTGTTTCACATTTTTAGCTCGGTCCATACTCCATAGGAATTAACTTCAGATCCTTGTTTATTCAATTTTATATTTTTACATTTTGAATGTTCACTTCAGTGCATTTGTACGGTGCCTTTCAATGAACTAAATTATCACATATGAAAAGATAATGGCGATTCATGTTGCATCCAACATGCTTTGCCTCAACATTCCATCATTGGACAGTATATGAACATTTGATTCTAATCTATCAATGTGTGTATGTTTTCTTGTCCCATCTTAGCTCTTTCTTCATCCTAGTAATATATTCGTTTTACATTCTGATGAATTTTCAGGAAAAGTATGGCATTGGCATCCAGGGTTGGGTCATCATATAGCATGTGTTGGGAAATGATTGGATGTCGTGGTGTCATAAAGAATAAGGGAATGCTTAAAACAAACGAGACCAGTGTTGGCTTTTGTTCCTCTTCACTGAGTTTATCAAAGAGAATGCAGCAACTGCATTTGGGTTGTGGTGGAGGAGGATCTATGAGAGGACACAGGTTGATTGTTGCTGCAAGTCCAGCAACAGAGGATCTTGTTACAGCCACTGAGCCTTTAATGAAAGAAGACCTTGTTGGATATCTTGCTTCTGGATGCAAGCCAAAGGAAAACTGGAGGTTCACATTTTTGTCTTCTCAAAATATACCCTTTTCCGGTTGGTGTTTGACTTCACAGAGTTTAAAAAAGTGTTAAAAAGTAAAAAAAGGAGTCATTGAAATTTGATAAGTGGAGTGATAAAGATTGTGAGCCACATATTTCATTCTTAAATAGAAAAAAGGCGAAGTGTAAAAGTTTATTTTTGAACACCCAAAAAAGGAAAGTGAGAAATTTATTTTGGGTCAGAGGGAGTAACATGCATAGGATAACTGATTTAGTGATAATTTTTTGGATACATTATTAGAAATTGGAAATTGTATGATACTTCTGCTGTTCAGTGTCCCAATTCACTTTTTCTTCAATCTTGGCTGTGTAGGATAGGTACTGAGCATGAAAAGTTTGGGTTCGAGCTTGATACTTTGCGGCCCATGAAGTATGACCAAATAGTTGACTTGCTTAATGGCATTGCTGAGAGATTTGATTGGGATAAAATAATGGAAGGCGACAAAGTTATTGGACTGAAACAGGTGTTTTGATATTTGAATTCTTATTTTAGAAAATATTTGGATCTTCAACACACTTTGAGTTTGAAGTTTGTTTCTTTTAACATTACTACCAAACATAACACACACCCGGTTAAATAGCTCAACATGCTGAATTCATTGTCAATTTGTCATCCATTTATTTCACTTGCGAAAGGCTTTCCCCCCCAAAAAATGTGAGTTAACTAAAAATGTGGTTCAATATTAGTATGTTACCTATTTGCAGGGAAATCAAAGCATATCACTGGAGGCCGGTGGTCAATTTGAGCTTAGTGGTGCACCACTTGAAACTCTTCATCAAACTTGTGCCGAAGTTAATGCACATCTTTACCAGGTATACCAAAATACCATTTTGTTACATTGGTCTGATATGGTAGTCAGGTGGTAAAATCCCATACTGCCATTTATTGTTTCAATATAAATCCACAAAAATGATAAGCGCAAATGCTCAACAGTAAGCATATTTAATACACGTAGCATGCATTACTCTCTTCTATCCCCCACCCGGTGTGCGAGAAAACAAAACAGATATTTAAGGTCGTAGGGAACTATAAACTTTATTGCTCATCCCTAAAGCCACATAAACTTTAGGGGTTGGGAACCAATAAAAAATATTCTAGGCCTGAGGTCATGTGTCAGTATCCTTGTTTTTTTCTTTGTATCTGCAAGTTCATAAAGCCCCACGCTATAAATGTCACAGGTAAAGGCTGTTGCAAAGGAGATGGGAATTGGATTTCTTGGAATTGGATTCCAACCAAAATGGGGGCTAAAGGATATACCAGTAATGCCAAAGGTAGAGTGTTTTGCTTATACTATCTTCAAGCAATATGATCAAGAAATTAATCAATACTCTCTTTGTTCCTATCTGATGTCTAGTTTGAGAAAATCACACATTTTATGAATCCTATTGAGGTGATAAATTAATTGAAATATCAAGTGCTTTTCTAAAATGGCATCATTAAATGGCACTTTCATTTATGTTCCATATAGGGAAATAGTAATTTGAATTGTGTAGAAGGGTAAATTATGGAAAACACAATTATTGTGCACAGATATCATTATTGGACGGGTCAAAATAAACAAAGATAAGTGCTCAACTCAACATAGACATCTAAATAGATACTCCGGAGTATGTAGGAACACATAAAGTATATTTTGTTATTGGAATGATGAATTGTCTTAAAAATTGCTATACAATGTCTTCTCAACAACAAGTACTTCCTCTATTCCAGAAAGACTTATTTGTTTTCCTTTTTCGTTTTCCAAAAAAGATATCACTTGTTCTATTTTTGGGAATTTTTATGTAACTTAGTGTTTCTCTCCCTTGTGTAAACTGAGCATATCTTTTTAGGATGTAGAATACTATTTTGCTCTGTCAAGTTGGCCTGCTGTACTGTTTGATTAGCTGTTGCTTACGTTTATTTTCCTCTTTCGCTTGACCCAGGCGAGATGTGAGATAATGAGAAACTATATGCCAAACGTCGGCTCACTTGGACATGAAACCATGTTTAGAACGTGTACAGTTCAAGTATGGGATTTCTATCCGTTGGCTGCTTTGGGTGCTTTCCACAGTTTTTTAAATTTACTCACCTTCTATTCTCTTGAGTACATCTACCTGATAATGTGTGCCTATGCTAAATTTTAAGCATGATTCATATAATTGTTTTATGTCAGGTGAATTTAGACTTCAGTTCTGAAGCTGACATGATAAACAAGTTTCGTGCAAGTCTTTCATTGCAGCCTGTGAGATATCTCAATTTCATTTCTGTTTTTCATGAATTTTTAACTTCTTGGTAGCTGTTATATTTAGGTCTAAACTATCTAACTACTTGATGTGACAGATTGCTACAGCTTTGTTTGCAAATTCACCTTTTACAGAAGGAAAACCTAATGGTTATCTCAGTGTGAGAAGGTGCGAAGATGGCAGTTTTGATTTATGTTTCTTGATCAAAAAATGGACTATACAATAAACAATGTTGTTAAGTAGCACTTTTTCTCCCGTTTCACCAGCTACGCCTGGACGGATACAGATAAGAATCGTACGGGCATGCTTCCTTTTGTCTTTGATGATTCCTTTGGGTAAGCATGAATTTGTTCTTAAAAATGGTGCTAGATAACATTACATTTTGTGAATAACATTTTACCGTTGTGAATCTAGTTCAGTGAAAGGAGGAGCAAACAGATTGTTTAAAGTTCCCGGTTTGACCGGGCACGGAGTTTAATAAAAGTTAAAATTTACCTTACATTCCCAAAATGCCCCTCAACCTTACCCACACCCCCACTGTTCCTGGACACCGTTCTGCAGCCCATCCCATAAGAAATTCCGGCAACTCAACTGTGAATCCCACACCCCAGCTTTCCTGGACACCGTTCTGCAGCCCATCCCATAACCGGCGACTCAACTGCGAATTTCCGGCCAGTGAGATATTCCGGCGATCCAATTTTTCCAGATCTGAATCCTTCTCCGATTCATAGATCTGAATCCGATTTTCCAGATCCGGCGCACAAGAAGTAGAAGAAAAAGAAGAGAAACGGCAAATCGGACGGGGGAAGAAGAAAAACAAGAAGAAGAATAGAAAGGAAAAATCGAAATGGAGAAAGAAGAAGAAGAAGAAGGAAATGAAAAGATGAAGAAAAGAAAATAAGGGGGGGGGGAAAGAAGAAGAAAAAATCTGAGGAAGAAGAAAAAACAAAAGAAACGAAAAATCAAAATGTGGAAGAAGAAAAGAGAGAGAGAAGGAAAGAAGAAGAACCAGAAAAGAGAGAGAGAGAGAGAGAGAAGGAAAGAAGAACGGAAGAGAAGAAAAGGAAGAGAGAGAAGGAAATAAAAGAAAGAAAAAAAGGAGAGAAGAAAAGGAAGGAGAGAAGAAAAGTAAAAGAAAAGAAGGGTATTTAAGTCTTTTTGATAAAAAAAAGTTACCAAAAAAGGAAATGGGAACTTTAATTGTGGACATCCAAAAAAGGAAAGTGAGAACTTTAATTATGGACGGAGGGAGTATATGGTTAATGGCAATGAAGCTGCTAATTGAATTATAGATCGAAATGGTAATCTCTGTCCTAAAAAGGTGGCATGTCTATAATACTGATTCCAACATTACAAACATGAGGATTGTGGTAGGCTGGTAGCATTAGCTATTGTGAATTGTCACTCAAACGAAATAGTGGTTTGTAGTAGATTTTTATCCACGTGCTGTTTTGCTTCAAAAACATGTTTTTTGGACTTTAAAAACTCAGATTCTTATTTTCTAAATTGAGATCATAGGTCTCTTGTTTCAGTGTTTCTATTTTTTGATTGGTACAGGTTTGAGCAGTATGTAGACTATGCACTTGATGTCCCTATGTATTTTGTCTATCGAAATAAGCAGTACATTGATTGTAGTGGAATGTCCTTCAGGGTAATCCATTATTTTTGCAGTTTTATTAGTCGTAACTGATTATCCTATCATCTTTCCAATTCTAACCAGCTTTAAAGCACTGGCAGGACTTTATGGCCGGGAAATTGCCACCTATACCTGGAAAATATCCCACACTCAATGACTGGGAGAATCATTTGACAACAATATTTCCTGAGGTACAATCTATATTCAGTGTTTGCTTTGGAAGTACAACAAATCTCCAGGGGTTAGTAAAAATGTGGGTTCTATACATTTGCTAATACCATGGAATTTACTTTTTATCCTTTAAAAGGTGAGGCTCAAAAGATACATGGAAATGAGAGGTGCTGATGGAGGACCTTGGCAAAGGTTATGTGCATTGCCTGCTTCTGGGTATGTCATTATCAATTTGTCATTATTGTCTCCTTACCCCAAATTTTGTGGTCTAATTTTGTGCACAATAATATAAATAAAATACAATGACAAAGTTTTATGCTAGATGTCCTCATTGTGGTTTCCTTCTTAAGAAACTATTCTTCCTCTATTTCATATTCTGTTGTTGGACTCTAACAAAGAAGAAAATGCAATCAGTCAGTAAAGTTTGATCCTCTTGCATGAAAAGTTCTCCCTCCATGCTATAATTTTCTTTTGTTTTTCCTTTTTGGGATGCCCCAATTCTCTCTTCTAGTTTCCATTTAACTGATTTAAGGGTATATTTATACTTCAAGTTATTTCTCATTCATTTGTATATATCTCAACCATGCATTTTCTATTTCAATAAGAATCTAGTTGCAATATAGCCTATGTCTAATTGCTGTGTTGGTATGTACACCATGTAACATGTTATATGATCTTCGTTTTACTAACATTCTTCTTTGAGGAATGCACCTTGATTTTTCTTATCATTATAGGATGCCATTTCTCCTCATACTCATGTTCCTGATACTGAAAATATTATTTTAGACATAACTTTTCCATCAGATGGATGGATCATATTTCTGCAGATTTGATTAGCTAATAATTGATTTCTTTTATCCATCTTTAAAAAAAATATCAGGCAGGTTTATTGTATGATGATATATCTTTACAAAGTATTGTGGACATGACAACAGATTGGACTGTTGAAGAAAAAGAGATGTTGAGGAATAAGGTAATATTCCTATGGAAATGTTAATGGTGACAGTCTCTATGTTATTTATGCATGGTAGCATATACGAGTATAATTTACATGAAAACATGCTTTACTATTAGGTGCCTACAAGCGCATTGCATACACCATTCCGAGATGGTCTGCTCAAACATGTTGCCCAAGATGTGGTAAAGTTAGCAAAAGTAAGTAAAGACAAGTTTGTTAGAGCTTGTTTTGGATGACTTGTGTTATAAGTACTAATAAGAAGTGATTTCTCATATAAGCACTATAAGTGAGTGCTTTTTTAGTACTCTCTTTGTCCCTTTTTATCTTCACTGTTCTCTCTTGTATACAAGTATCATCTTTGTTTTTTAAGGAAGTGGTTTTGTTCACCTTGAAAGCATGCTGAGTCGAAACAGCTATAAAATTGGGACGGAGAGAGTAATTAAAAGCATTTTTTCCTTGTCGAACTCTCTGAGTAGACGTATTTTTTTCATGCAAATAACACGACCTTTAAAAAAAAGTCGTCCAAATGCACTCTTATAATCAGTCATGTTGTCAAGACGCTATAGTCTCCTTATTAAGTCATCCCTCTTGTTCCTATTATAATACAGGAAGGTCTGGAAAGACGGGGCCTTAAGGAAACAGGGTTTCTGAATGAAGTCTCTGAAGTGGCCAACACAGGTAATCTTACAGCAAATTCACATCTATATTAGTGCGCCTTGAGCATCCCGTCTGCACCTAAGCCGCCTAGCAAACTTTAGAATATCAGTAATGTAAAATGAAAAAGTGTATAACAACATAAACAGAGTTTCATATATTTTGATACCTTTTATGAACGAGTCTTTCTAGTCAGCCTTGCTAGTTTGTTTCTGTTCTTTATCAACTACAAAGCTTCGGGACAACTTTTCTCATATTACGTACTCTAGTATTTAACAGGTCAAAGTAAAAAACATCATCATTGGATCAATCGGATGAGTGTTACCTTCAAGGCTTTGACTATGTTTCGCGCCCGATAAACTTGATTGTATGCCAATGATTGGTTTTTTCTTGAATGAAGCCTTTCACAAAAAGTTGTGTTTGGTCAGGGATTAAGTTTAAGCTTATCTTTGAGTAGCTTTTCAAATAAGCTGCATGAGGTTTTCATTATAGTTCCATTATTGGCACATGTTTTTTAAAGTTTAAAACTATTTCAAACACATCTTTTTATGTTGTCTTTTACTCCCATAAGCTGACAGGTAGTTTATCAACTCTAATGGTCAACTTGACATTTTGTTTTTCCAAACATAGCCTTAAGCAGGTGAATTCTTTCTTTAGCCGCTCTCACCGTTCCATTTACAATGTTGCTTTAGGTGTCACGCCAGCTGAGAAGCTCCTGGATTTGTACTTTGGGAAATGGGGACAGAATGTTGATCATGTTTTCGAGGAGCTTCTTTATTGAGAGGCTAAAAGAGAACCTTTAAGGGGCTGTTTGGTGTCCAATATTGTGTTGTAACCTTTCTCCAACCTCTTAATAAAGGTTTTCTTCTTCTTTTTTCTCTTTCCCATGGCACTTGGAATAAAAGCTTTGGATTGTGATACTGAGATGTATTTGATCCGGCTGTAGACTTCTTACTAATTTAAATTTGGTTCACTGTTCTCTGTTTGGGTCTTTTTTTGTTGTTCAACACTTCAACTTATGGGCATTGTTTTAACACTAGTTCCTTGTTTGGTTAGAAGGGTGTGTTTTAATCCAGAGAAATACTATTTTGGTAAAATTTCGACTTTTAATGTTAGTTTTCTGAAAAAGCTATGATGTTTAGTTTTAAAATTTTCAAAACAAAGAAATGTTTGAAAGTATGTACGAGTACAAATAAGTGTTTCAAAAAGAATATTAGTCACTTGTATAATTGTGTGTTGAAGAGCCATAATTCTTAAAATTAAAAACAAAAAGATGTAAAGTTTGTTATATTAAACGGATTTTTATTACTCACTCCATTCTAAAACTATTTTTCCGTTTGTGTTTACGAAGTTTTTGACTGACTTTATATTTAATTCAATTTATTTGATTGTAGGTGTAGAATTAAAAAAAATAAAATTTATTTATTTAAAAACTATATCAAAAAGTTTACAAAACAAGAGGTGAAAAAACTATATTATTTTATCAAATAAATAATGAAAATAGGTAAAAATAAGATTTAAGATTGACCGCATGAATAATAACTATGAAGATAATTTTAGAACGGAAATGATACTTATTACTTATTCTTATTAAAATCAGATAAATACAATTAGATCTAATCAAAAACACTTTACACAAATAATATGGAGTAATTGCAATTAAATGAAACCTTTTTAAAAATAAGTAACCAAACCATTTTATCTTATCAATAATCCTCCTATAAGGATTTTATGAATATTGTTCCCGCCCATTTAATAAGTTACAGTAGCCGCTGCATATGGACCGCACATTCTTAGAGAGAGAGAGAGCACCGCCGGGGTAAGTAGCATCGCCCCTGATTGGAATATTTTTTCTTTCTAATTTTGAGGTTCCTACCGAGATACTTTTACAGTTTTTTCATTTTCTTACCAATTTTTTTTGTAGCTAGATTGAGATTTTCATATTTTAGATATAAAATTTCAGATTCTGATTTTTGGGCCCCAGATTGGAACAATGTTGGAGACACAATGGAGACCTAGAAATTTCAGATCCGTGCTTTCATTTTCCTGATGGTCTGAGTCTTCCTTCCTCCTCCGCACCCTCTCTGCTCACTCTCGCTGGAAACCATCTTTGGGACTAGGGTTTCGAAAGTAACCACGTCTGAAACCATTAGATTTTGCTAGGACAAAAGCGGTGGCGGGCCAGGTATGTACACTGCTTCAATTAAGATTTTATTTTGATTTTCCATCCAAAAAAACAAAAAATACCGAGATTCATCTTCTATGCAAACATATAACCTTTGGGCCTGTAGTTCTCCCCTCAAAGAAGGATCGGGAACATAGGGGCAAATTGTTGATTCTGTTCTAGGATTTAGAACAAAGATATAGATATTTATTTTCGATGCAAGTGTTCATCTTAGCCTTTTCTTTCAATTTCTTTTGTTGGTAGATTAAGATTTTCATATTTTAGGTATAATTTTTCAGATTTTCCAGAATCTGCTATCAAGCAATGGAGGATGTTCAAGCTATTTTACCTCTCTCTATTTTTTTTCTTTTCTTGAAATGGTTAATTTGAGCGCTCTTTTTGCAGTGGGTGTGGGGTCATTGTTGAATTATCTTCAACAATGTTTGTCACGTTGGAGTATAAAAATTTGAATGAATGTACAAGGACAAACCTCTTAAGAGAAAGCTCAAGCGTAGAATGATTATGGAGCAAACCATGTAAAATGCAAGTACTTTCCGAATAGAAGTAAAGTAAAATATTTTAGCTTTTAAGGATATCACAGCTTATTTGGCTACCCTTTTGATCACCAAAAAAATAACCGAGATGTAGGTTTTATTTGTGTTTGTTTTGCTTCTCTGTGTGTGCATGTGTTATCTTTTTGTTAAATTTGATCCATGTTCTCTTTGCTAGGCTAGGCTGTGCAAGTTAAATTTTTGATTGATGACCTTTCTGAAGCTGGAAAACTTGACGGTGTAAAATATACTTTACATCGAAGGTATGTTTTATTAGTAAATCGGAGAGAATTTTGTTTCTGAATTGTAGTAAGTGGCTTACAGGTGGATAAAGTAAAAACTCTGGCCTCTATCTGATCCAAAACAAACAGTATGAATCTGCCACTTTGCCCATTTGTTTTAAATCTTCTACCCCCTATGTCTCAAAACAATGAGTGATGCTTGTTATGCAGCTCTAGGTTCTACATATAAGTCATTTATTTATTTAAATTGGAGATTGCTAAATATGACTCACGTGTGATGATTTAACTTGGTAGTTGAACTAATGGTTCATTTGATTTGGGAAAGACCGATAAGAGAGAAATGTGAGAGAAAAGAGATGAGAAAGGTAGAACCTTTTGGTATAAGAGAATTTGGTAAGAAAGGAGAGAGAACGAAGTCTTGTTTGAAAATTAAGACAAAAAGAACCCTCATTACCCCCTATGCCATTTTGGTCTCTCTCTCTCTCCCTCTCCAAAAATAAGATACGGTCAAAGTTACATGCCATTTGCATGGTGGTTTAAATGCTTGCCACTCCGTGTCGCTTGTTGTGAAAAACTAATGCCTCGTTGAATGAAAAAAATAAGATGAAAAATGATTTTTCTTGTTGAATTAGCGGCAAAAGGAAAACAAAGTGGAATCAATAGAAAATGAAAAGTCAAAATACACTAGCAAGAAGACAATCAAAGTTAAAGCTAATTTCTTGAACCAGACATAGTGTAAAGCTAAACATTGTCATTAGGTGTTCTATTTCAACAAATTAACACTGATCTTAACATTATTTCCAAATAGACTTATGTTTATATTATTTCAAGATAGGGTCAAATTTGTCTTTCTAAGAGAATATATAGAGTCAAATTTTTCAAAATCTCATTACGAAATAAAAAGTGGAGAGCATGTATCAAATGATCTGTAGTGGAGTGTAGATATCATGAGCCCATATGTGTATCCGATAAAATTTATATACTCGTCCAATAATAGTTTTTTGAGAAGTAAAAAAAGGTAGATAGCTTTAAAAATTATATACTCCGTACAATATTTGTTATTTCTTGATTGTTTCACACTTTTCAAAATAACTCTAACCTATAGCAATTTTTTCAAACACACCTTAATCACTTCCATAAAGGGTCTAACAAACATTATTTCTTCTGTCATAAAATTAACTTATCATTTGATTTTTCACGATTTTCAATGTAACACTTTAATCATATATATTTCTATTTATTATTAGTATAAAATATTTCAATTTTTTTTAAAATAAATCTATTGATATTAAATTTATATAAAAGTTTTATGTATATTTTTCGTAATAGACGGTGAAAATTTTGAAAATTTGATCCTGAACGTCAAATTGAGAAGTTACTTTTAGGATAAAGGGAGTATTTTTGTATAATTTTTATTTTATTTTGGTTGAGTAAATATGGTTATAAGAGTGTTTCAATATGCTTCTTGAAAAGTAAAAGGCCATTATAGTCATGATATATTTTGTATTTCTTTCGTCTCAAATCAAGTTGTATATTTATTATTTATAATATCAAATTTTATTTACTTTCTTTCTCTATCTTTCTCATTATTTAGAATAAATAATGTAGTTATGTCGCTTTTTGTTTTAATTTTTTTTATCTTATTTTTGAATAGGTCAATTTAAATCTCGTGGTTGTATATTCCTAATCATTAGTTCATTATAGTGTTTGCAGTAATTTGAACATATTAGTACCAAATTTTTTGTATGTATGAGTAGATTTATGGTTTAATTGAGTGTTTTGTCTGATTTGGGGAAAATTTGAAAGTTAGGTTTCAAGTGAAATTGACATTTGAATCCATGTAGCATTCCTGTTTTGAGCACAAAATTAGGATGTTGATATTATATTTTTACTGACATCAGGTTGGTTGGTGCATCTATGGTTTTGGCACAGAAGATGAAAAGTAGGAAGATGGTGTGGATACAGTAAGTTTGACGCCTAAACCACAACTCTTACATTCTCCGCTTTCATTCACCCATTCAATTTATATATAAGTTTCGATTATATCCCTTCAATTATATATAAATTGAGAATGGTGATGTCACATTTGGGTACTCTAAGAAACAACCGAAATAATACTTGTATATTGGTTTTAGACGTGATTCTGTAGTCCCACGAGCTAGTTCAACCTTTATCTTCTCTGAAGCCTTTGTTACTTTAGTTACAATTTTCATTTGCTCTGCTTCTTCAGCTTCCTCTTGAGCACGCATTGTTTCGACCATTTCTAAGACCCGTTGAAAACAGGACTCTTGCACACCATAATTCTCGTATTTTGGAGGAAGCGACTCTATGATCTGAATCCTTAGTTTTTTACTAAACCATCGTTTATGCAATCGTACTCTAAGGCTAGATTTGCTTCTTTGCGTCCAGAACATTCAATATATGCGTACTCTTTGGGCTCAGGCATAGTAACATCAACAATTTTACCAAAAACTTTAAGTTGTTGAATTAAGTCCTCTTCCATTCTGGGTCGGTGCAGGAAACTAACTTTTACGAGCTTGCCTAGAGACCCTGAAACATTGCAGTAAAAGAGTTGATAAAAACGATTAAAACTAATACGTGTTTTGATGATAGGAACACTTATATGATTCATCAAAGGACATCTTGTTGGGTAGCATTATAATCCCAATCCTTCTTGAGTCTATTTATTTAAAACATGACTCAAGCAAATATAATTTGTTAACAAACTCCCCAACCTTTCCCAAAACGAACTACACAATCTTAAGTTCAATGAATATCAATATTAATCATTGAACTGAGATTTGCTGCTTACTTAAATCATACCCAAATTATGAATTCATTCCTCTATAAATCTAAGTTGTTTCAGCTTAATTATGTCTTTATAGTTTATACCTCAGTTAGATAATTAGAAACAACCTAGAAATTGAATGCATTATACACAAAATACAGAATTACCCAGTAGAAAATCTCAATGTATAACAATAATTCTAATTCCAATAGAAAACAAGAGAACTAAGTTGAACCTGCTTCTGGACTAGCTGTGCCTCCTCTACTTGTTGTTCCGCTGCTTCCCGCTCCTCCTCGACTTGTTTCTTTGTTGCTTCTTGTTCCTCTCCCACTTGTTCCTATTGATAATAATAAACACTTGATATATCACATTAAATATACTTAATGATTGTCATGATATTTGTATATTTCAACGACCAAAATTAAAACTAAATTATATCATGATAAAGCAATTAGGTTATACCAGAGCTGATATACACTTGGAAGGAACTGCTCTTAATCTGATTGCCATTACACTTAACAAAAACAAGCTAAAGTCTCGCCTTCTCTACAGTGTAAGTGCACTCATAAGTCCCATCACCCTTATCCTCAACATTAAGTGGCGTCTGCGTAGCATAAAGATACACAGAACCTTCAACTCGAGCACCACCCTCCCGAACATCCCTTTCATTTACATCTTTCGTGAATAAGACAAATTTTTGGGTAACAGCTGTTGTCCCATCATCTAAGCCATTCGATTCAACCGTGCACTTGGTAAGATCTATTGAAAAGTGTAATAAAGATCAATAACCTTTATCTAGCTAGCTCTCAAAGTAAAACCTCAAAAGATTTTAAACTTTAAGAGATGAGAGTTGCCCTTCAACATTTGCAGTAAAGAGGTCTTAACCACCTGCAAAATAATAATTGCAATGGAGGGCTGAAGTGGTTCATACTGCCTCTTAAGACCTCTTTACTGCAAAGATTGAAGAGGCTACTCTCATCTCTTAAAGTTTAAAATCTTTTAAGGTTTTACTTAGAGGGCTAGCTGGATAAAGGTTGTTGATTTTTATTACACCTTTCAACTAACTGAATGATCCCAATAGATCTTACCAAGTGCACGGTTGGATTGAATGGCTTAGATGATGGGACCACAGGTGTTACTCAAAACTTTGTCTTGTTAACGAAAGACGTAAGTGATAGGGATGTTCAGGAGGGTGGTGCTTGAGTTGAAGGTTCTATGCATCTTCATGCTACACAGACACCACTTAATACACTACTTAATGTTGAGGATAAGGATGATGGGACTTATAAGTGCACTTTAGAGAAGGCGAGGCTTTATCTTGTTTTTGTTAAGTGTAAAGGCAAGCAGATTAAGTGTATATCAGCTCTGGTATAATCTAATTGCTTTATCATGATATATATTAGTTTTAGTTTTGATCATTGAAATATACAAAAAGCATGATAATCCTTGGGTATATTTGGTGTGATATATCTAGTATTTATTATAATCAGACAATAAGCAGCAGAGAAACAAGTCGAGGAGGAGCGGGAAGCAGCGGAGAAACAAGTAGAGGAGGACTGCAGGAGCAGGTTCAACTTAGCCCTCTTGTTTTCTATTGGAGTTATTGTTGAACGTTGAGATTTTCTATTCGGTAATTCCGTATGTTGTGAATAATGCATTCAATTTTTGGGTTGTTTCTAATAATCTGACTGAGGTATAAACTATAAAGACATAATTAAGCTGAAACAACTTAGTTTTATAGAATGAATTCATAATTTAGGTATGATTTGAGTAAGCAGCAAATCTCAGTTCAATGATTAATATTGATATTCATTGAACTTATGACTGTGTAGTTCGTTTGGGAAAGGTTGGGGAGTTTGTTAACAAATTGTCTTTGCTTGAGTCATGTTTCAAATAAATAGACTCAAGAAGGATTGGGATTAGGATGCTACCTAACAAGATGTCCTTGATGAATCATATAAGTGCTCCTATCATCAAAACACGTATTAGTTTTAATCGTATTTATCAACTCTTTTACTGCAATGTTTCAGGGTCTCTAGGCAAGCTCGTAAAAGTTAGTTTCCCGCACCGGCCAGAACGGAAGAGGAGTTAATTCAACAATTTAAAGTCTTTGATAAAATCATTGATGTTACTATGTCCGAGCCCATAGAGTACGCGTATATTGAATGTTCTGGACGCAAAGAAGCAAATCTTGCCTTAGAGTACGATTGCATAGATGATGATTTCGGTAAAAAACTAAAAGTTCGGATCGTAGAATCGCTTCCTCCAAAATATGAGGATTATGGTGTGCAAGAGTCTTGTTTTCAACGGGTCTTAGAAATGGTGGAAACAATGCGTGCTCTAGAGGAAGTTGAAGAAGCAGAGCAAATGAAAATTGTAACTAAAGTAACAGAGGCTTCAGAGAAGATAAAGGTTGGACTAGCTTGTGGGATTACAGAATCACGTCAAAAACCAACATCCAGGTATTGTTTCGGTTGTTTCTTAGAGTACCCAAATGTGACATCACCATTTTTAATGAATGAATGTTGGCCGTCATCATTAGTTACTCCCCCAAAACCACAATCACGTGCAACAAGATCTAAGTCAAGATCACCTGTCAACTGTAAGCAAAGACATCATCAATCCCCATCCTTGTCGCCATCAATTCGCCGGGCACGACGAAATTACAGATCCAAGTCTCCGATCACAGCACTACCTCGAGTTATGAATGTGATAGGTGTAGCAAGAGAGAGAGAAACGCCGTTCGCCTTGTCACCGTTCTCCAGTTTCTAAGAGAAAAAGAAGTAGAAGCATGAGCCCACGACGGGGATATGATTCATGCGAAACAGAACAATAAAGTCAGGAGGTACAACCTCCCAAACACCACAATGATTTTTTTGCACTGAGAGCAAGGGTATGAGCCACCTTATTAAACTACCTACAAACAAATTGAAAAGAAATAGAAGAAAAAGAAGGCAAGAAACCATAACAAGCGTCAACCAAAGAACCAACGTATGATGGCATAAAACCACCCTCCTGTTGAAGAGCCTTCACCACCTGGAAGTTATCTGAGCACACTGCCACCTCTTTGCATTGCTTTCCAGCCAACCACCTAAGCGCTTCCCGACATGCCATAGTCTCGGCTTCTTCCACAGATTTGAACATGATGAACGAGCGGGACCTTTATTATTTCAGGCGCTTCATTCGGAGGTATCGATGTAATGTAGTGGCATTACGTTTGCCGAGACGCTTGTTGAATGAAGCCCGGCACCAGCTGCGAAAAGATGGTCTGGTCGTGATCATACCAAGGGGAAGAAGAAATAAGAGGAAGGTAATGAGTTTGTTAAAAAAGAAGTAATTTTAACTTTTAAGTGGTTGGTGATTGTCATCTTTATATTATATGCTTGTTGTTAAGTTATTGGGGTTATGCTTGTAGTTCTCTATAGTTGCTTCAGTGATTAGATTTTTCTGATGCAAGAGCTTTAAGTATGTTGTTGGATGCATAACTCTCACTTGCTTTGTCCCTAAAAGAATTGAACACGACAAGTTGTTCCGAGATCACGGTGTTTTTATTTATTTTGTGCATTTTTATTGATTATTTCATAAAATGAAATATTTGCATCACCACTTAGAACTTTTTGATGTAGTTTTTTTACAGTAATGTGCTAGGTGCCTGGGTTCAAAACTAATGGTGATCATGATGTGGTCACTTAAATGGACAGAAGATGTTGACATGCAAGATTTATATCTACTTGATTACGCTTGAGAGCCTATTTTTCCAAGAACAATTCTTTTTTACTTGAGCTTGGTTTAGGTTGTTTTGTTTCCATTTCAGACCTGGGTCGAATTCTAGCAGCGGCAATGAGAGAATTCTATTTTTTTTTTAATAACACAATATTTACACATTTTTGTAGTAAAATGATAATTTTTCACACTTGATCTTGTGCTATCTTTATTGGATTGGGTTGTTAGGAGGTTAAAGGTAGAAGTCTTAGCTTCCCAGTGTGATAAATGCTTGTGTTAGACTAATTTCAAAACTATTTCTCTCAAAGACCCACTTCTTTGAGCATTGTGATTATCCTCAAACTCTAAAAGGAAATCATTCATTTTTGGAAAGAAAAAATGCAAGTTAAATTACAGGTTTTAAGAGAGTTTTTGGACATTTTTTCCATGACCTTTAGTAGTTAATTGAAGTTCCTTAAAACAAGTTCTATAGTAGAATCTTAGGATTTAATCCAAGCTGATTTTTGAATAGTCTATATTTTTGGGTTTGTTTGGAAAACACCTTTCAAACGTGGCATTGGTGGCACGATACTTCTAACCCCTTAAGCAACGAATTTGAAAGAAAATGTTGTGAATCGGAAAGTGCATGTAAGTAGGATTGCAACACGAACAAATAAATTTGATTTAATTCGTTATTCGTATTTGAAATTAATGATTCGTATTCAAAGTAATGAATACGAATAAGAATAAAAATATTACGAAGTAGTACTTTTTTAAATTTGTATTAAGTTTAAATTTATACTGATCGAGGAGATATTGTAAAATATGGAGTAACTAATAACCTATTTTTGCTTAATTATTTTCTTCCTTTATGAAAATCTATTTCAAACTCGACAATAATTTTTTATTTTAAAAAAATGTGATGAACTGTATACAAATTTTGTTTGTTAACATACACAAAATGACCATATACTACTCCCTCCGTCCACATGGTCAAAATTTATGCAATTTGCATATTTTGTTACTTGTCTAATAAAATAAAATAATCATGACATCTTTAATTTTGTAGATCTAATTTTTTCAAAAATATACTTTTATTTTTTAATTCCATATTAATTATTATATAAAATAATTAAAAATGATTTCATTCAAAAATCATATCAAAATAAAATTTGTGGATGAAGGGAGTGATTATAAAAAACTTTTTTCTATACTCAGATTGATCAAAAGTAAACTAAATTAAAACTTGGTAAATTAAATTTATAGAAACATTTTTTAAAACATATTTTCATTATTAATTTGATTCAATACAATATTTTTTGATCTTTGATGTAATATAATTGAATATATAGAGAGAAATTTACACGACTATATTACTTTATTAAAAATATTCATGCATCTAAAACTCGTGTGTAATTTTTAAAATTAATTGAAATCTGGACAAAAATATAGAAATACTAAATTTGGATGAATTAATTTTTGAAAAAGTAAATATTATTTTTTTTAAAATGACTAAAAGGAAGAAAAAATTAAAGTTGGAAGAGCTAAAAAGTAAACACTCGGTTCTTTTTTATTTGGCCAAATAGCTACGATGCCCTCTGTGGCTTGAAAAATTGGCATCAATACCACATCTGTTTTCAAAACTTATTTTTAAAGTTCTCATTATTTTAAAACGTTGCACTCACACCTCTCCGATCATTTTCTGGTGAAGAGGAAACATTGACACATAATATTTAAATCATAGGGGGCATTCGTGCTCATTTCTTATTTTCGTTTATTATTTGTGTTTTTATTTTTTTAAAAAAATTTTTCTCTCTTTTTGCTTTTCCTATAAATTTTTCAAATATATTTTCAATTTTTTATAATGTTTTAAAAATTTTAAAATTCTTTGTGTTTGAAAAAATAAAATAAAAAAATTAAGGTAAGAAATAAAAGCAGTCGTCTCCTTCCTTTCCTTCCTCGGAGTTTCGTTCAAAAGCTCAAAATTTTATACTCATTGCACTTTTGTCTTTACCCTCTTCCCTCAGATCTCTCGTTCCTCTCCCATTTTAAATCTAGGGTTTCTCTTTTTCATTTTTCAATTTTCAATTTTTTAATTCCTCTACTCCCTGGCACACTTATGAAGTGCAAAATTTCACAGCTCTTAGATTCTTAAATAGGGTTTTGAGCAGTGGATTCCTCACATTCTCCAGTTTAAGCTCCAGTTCGTTATCTATATTACTAGCCCTTTCTCAAGATTCCAACTTTAACATTTTCTTTGTTGAGCTCGGAGATTGGTTTCATCTGTATTTTTTTGCTGTGTTTGTGAAAAATCCCGTCTTAAACCCTTTTCTGGATTTGCAAATCTTCATACCATCCGTGTATATGTATTTAATTTATTGCTAAATTTTAACCATTTAAGGTTTCTCTGCCAAAGACTAGATTTTTATCAGGCTATATTGGCGGGGAAGGGGGTTCCTGGCCAAGTTTCTTTATCAGTAAATCAGTTAGGATTCAAGGGCTTCGAGTCTTCTCTGGGTAAATGCATGGATTTGAGGGAAGGCATGTCGCTATATGGCTCAGCTTCTTACTATATTAACCCAGGAGGAATTAGTGTATCTGGAAGTTCATCAGGGTTCAAGCCCATTTTGAACCCTAATGTTTCAGCAGCAGAGAACCCTTCAACCAGCTTTGATCGAAGGGTTGACATGGGTATGACCACACATGGTGGCGGCGGCGGTGATCCAGTGATGACGAAGAAGAAGAGAGGGAGGCCGAGAAAGTATGGGCCTGATGGGTCAAACATGTCTTTGGCACTGTCTTCCATGTCCAGCGGGCCTTCCACAAATCCAGGCCCTAAGCGGAACAAAGGAAGACCGCGTGGTTCTGGTTGGAAGCAACAATTAGCTCCCCTTGGTATGTTTTCTCTCATTGCTCAATTTAAGTTGGCAATGCTTGTTAATTATACCTGTTCTTGAATTTGAAATGTGGTTTTATGTTTAATGCTCTGGAGTGAAAGAAAAGAATGTTCCACATGATGGAAAAGGTGTTCCAATTGAAATGTGGGTGATAAGTTTACCTAATTTAACATTGTTCATAATGATGAAAAAGGTAGAAGCTGCTTTATGTTTATCATCAGTTCTGGGCACCTTAATCCCAGCTCATGTTGGAACAGGTGGAATGAATTTGTCGTGTTAGTATCTAGAGTCATTTAATCATATAGATTCATGCAATAATAGCTCGGCTACAATTTCATAGTACTACGTATGCCATTCCCCTATCACGACCTTCTATAATGAAATGAAATTTCAAAACAACGTGAAAGGTGAAATTTTAAAAGCTCCCATTGGGAATCTGTTCGAGATGATAGCTATTTACCTGGTCAATGCTCAATATGTCGATATATATGATTCTTGCACAGATCTTTCAATAGATGTATTTGTTTGGTGCAGGAGAGTGGATGAATAGATCAGCTGGAGTGGCATTTACTCCTCATATCTTACACATTCAAATCGGGGAGGTATATTATATCCTCTCCATTCAAAACTTTTGAAAAAACACTTGATTTTGTGTGGTTCCATGGAATACTTTGTCTTTCAAAAGAGTTCACATATCGTCATATTATGAGATTGGTGCACTAATGGATCCTCCCGTGGAAGACAAAATAATGTTTTTTTTTGTGTGGTGGTGGTGTTTGTTTTTGTGCTTAATAAAGTAGGGAGTAATCTCTCTTAATATACAAGGAGTAAAATGCTTCCTTAAACGACAATTATTCAATATGAAGCAGATAGACACAACATCCATAGTAAAAGCATTTAATACCTTGCTTGTTTTTCTGTGATTAATGGAAACAGAAGATAAGATCTTTTCCCCCATTTTCAGGATGTAGCAGCCAAAATACTAGCGTTTTCACGGCAAAGGCCGCGGGCATTATGTATATTATCTGCAAACGGCACGGTTTCCGCTATAACATTGCGGGCCCCAGCAAGCTCTGGTGCCACGGTCACATATGAGGTAAAAAAAAAGAAAAACTGACTCTACATTCCCATGTTCGTCTTGCACTGTTATTCGCTCACTTGGATGAGTATTTTGTGTAGGGCCGCTTTCAGATACTGCGCTTGTCAGGTTCGTACTTGGTTGCTGAGAGTGGTGGCAGTGGCCATCACAACCGAATTGGTGGAATAAGTATTTCCGTTTGTAGCCCCGATGGGCATGTCATAGGGGGTGCCATTGGAGGCCAGCTCATAGCAGCAAGTTCAGTTCAGGTATTTTTTTCCTCTTAAAGTATAAAACCTTTCCTAAGCCATGTTTGGGAACCTTAAAAATTTGATTTGGATTTGAGTCAAATTCCTCCAGTTCATTACAAAGCTTAAATGCAAATCCATATGCCTCCTCTTGTCATTTGAAATTCAAATGGAATGGTTCCCAAACACTGCCCTAGATAAATTAGGAAAGTATGCCGAATAAGACGCGGTAGTTTGAATCCAACTTCATATCATACAGATTGAAATAAGACAAGTGAGGTCCAATATTTATTGCAGGTGGTTTTATGCAGCTTTGTACACGGGACTCCGAACGAAAAACACAAGGCAGAGACCGGTGGTGGGGCCGACATGGACAATGCGACCCGGCCCGCTGAAAAACTGTCGGGCCCGATTGTTCGTCCACCCGACCAAGACCGCATCCCGAGCATGGCTGCAGCATGGCAGTCTAACCCCAGCTCCTTAACCCGAAGTTACCAGACCGGGATTGACCTAACCCGTGGATGAATCGTTTCCCTTCATTCAACGCAACAATTCACGCTCACAGAGAAGAAAGAAAACAAGGTTCGGTTTTAGGGTGTGCAGAGGACTATGGTTTCTGGATTAACAACCCAAATGCCAGACAAATTGTTCATAAGGTGGTTTGTGTAGAGTTTATGAAAAAACCTTGGAGGGAGAGAGATTGCAGTGTATCATAGGTGCTGTTAACCTTTGATGATTTGTTTAGGTTGTTGTAACATTGAATATTTGATTGTATAATGCTTCCTTAAATGACAATTATTCAATTTTAGTACTAATGTCTTCTTAAACCCAAATCCCATTTGCTTGTCTCTAAGTTCATGTCTTAAAAATGAGAGCACATTATTTATTTATCTTTGAATGCTATTGACTCTATTACAAGGTAGCATCTGTTCATATTATTCTCAACATATTGACGTACAAAGAGTCAATGCTTCCACCTTTGTTAGGACTCGAATCTAGGTGAATTTTTCTGTGAATACTGGGGAGTGGACTTGCTAGCACTCAAGCCAGAAGAGAAGTTCGAGAGCACATTATTTATGATTGTTAGTTGTTTTGTAAACTAATTGGAGGTTAAAACCCTACCAAACTTAATTCAAGTTTAAAATTTATTTCTTTGATAATGAAGGGGACAAAATAACTACTACTCCACCACTAAGAAGAGCCATCACTCAATTCCATCACTATATTTGGATTTATTCAATCCATTGAAACAATTCAGCTCAGCACATACTGAGTACCCATCAATTTTCAATCAACAACCAATTGAGATATATAATTTTTTTCTCAAAATAATTAAAAAAGAAATTAATTCGAAAATATATATTCAATTTTTTGACACACTCTTTTATTTAAGTATATATTTTTTGAAAGTCTTTTATTTGAATATATAATGTTTGATATGAAAAAAAAATCTTCAAATTTAACTTTGTTCAAGGAATAACAGTATTTTGAAAGATTTAACTTTTCATGGGATAGAAAATATTTTTTCCACATCTTGTAAATTGATGGTATAATTAGGGGTGAATTAAAGCAGAAGCTTTCTCCATGCCTCTATGACCCCACACACACATATTAAAAAAACCCAACACGTCATAATAAAGAAAGAAATAATAATGAGTCAAAGCACACTAAAAAAATTAAATTCATTAGTCTTTAGGACAATAAAGTGTTGATATCATGTCAAAAGTGTAGAATTTTACAAAAAATTGAACTCATTCCATTGATAAAAAATTTGGTCTAAATACACACAAACTACCCCTAAATCCCTAATAATGTCCCATCATTCACATATACCCACTAACATACATGAAAGATTCAATTCAGTCAAAAATAAATTCAGATCAAGAAAATAATTTATGCTCTAACGATTATTATCTTTTCGTTCGCAATAAAATACGCAGTAATGTTGTAGTATAAAAACACACAAGATGACCCTAATAACATCCAACTTGCAAAATACGGAGTATAACATAAGGAGTATAACATAAACTCATTTGCATACATCCACTGACATTAAAGAATCAATTCAATAAAAAATTTAGATTCGGAAAATTTTTTGTACTCTTGTAGTAATTATCATTGGGCATGTAATAAAATACGGAGTAATGTTTTGAAAATAGAGAAATAGTCAAAGTAACATTTAATATCCTTAAAATGAAAAAAATAAAAGTTTGAAAGGAAATGGTGTACTTTTTTGTGAGACCGGAGCTAACTCTTTAGAGGTTTTTGTTTTAATTTTTACAATACACTATATTTTTATTAAAGATATAATTTTTTTTAACCGAAAAAATAAAAAACGAAACTGCAAAATAATAAACCAATCAACCGATGATTCACATATTTTTTTATATATAAAACCGAACCGAAGTAAAATTTAGCTTCAACTTGGTCTTCAACTTGAGGGAAAAATTGAATCGAAAATCCAAATTCACATATCTTCTGTTTCTTCTAATATCCAATTTTATTTTTTCAATTTAAAAAAAGAGTTCTACTACTCTACAACTAGTATTTATTCTTTTCGTTAGGGGTATTTTTTATTTATTCAAAACAATTTCTTTTTCATTTTGGTTTTTATCATACATTTTTAATAATGCTTTTTATTTTCACCAAAATTCTGAAATTTATAGAAACTAAAATAAACAGGTGAATTGGTGCATTTAAGTGAGCAAAACATTCTGAAAAATACCAGTGAATTAATACCATGAGTAATGAATCTAGGACTATATTTGTATACAAATTCCATTCATCCTTTTTTTCAAGTGAAGAAGTAATTTGAACGCTTTTCCCTATTGACTTTTTTTTTCAGAGATAGATTCCTTGGATACATTTGTTGAAATTCAGCCTACCGTTCACGTTTCATTTTCTTTGATTTGACTAGGAATGTATTTTTTAAAAAAACAAATTGTAATTGATGGCTCCAACCTCTTAACCCAAACCGATCAATTTCATCTCGCCCACACCCTCAGCCCCCCAAGATCGCCGATTTGAGGGCCCCAAATCGCCGATCTAGGGAGAGTGCTAGAGTGGGAGCGGGGTGAAATTGATGGGTCGGGGGTTAGGAGTAGGAACGATCAATTTTACGAACGAAACACCGTAGGTATTCCAAAATCATTGGTGTCACGATGTTACACCACTTGACCTGGTGTAGCATTACATGCTCTCACATACATACATACACACACACACACATATAACATGAATATTTTTTTTGGAAGACTTAAGGTTCATATCTTTTTGTGGACCTTCTCCTATAAAAATATTTTTTTACAAAAAAAAATGTGTCTCATGTCAGTGATGTCACTAAATATTTATTTACCACGCACTCTCATTTGAAAGTCTACATAAAGTACTATGGATCTTAAATTTACCATAACATTTGGCATAAATCTCGCATTTTAATCAGTGGCGGATCCAGAAATTGAAGTAGATGGGGGCATCATTGATCGGTAGTCTAGAAGCGTCGTTGATAAACTATTTGAAATGACAAAAAATAATAAGTCTTATTTCAAATATTTATTAAATGTAAACTATTTTTTAATATGTAAAATGAAATTTTATTTTATAAACAATTACGGAGTAATTTTATACAATAAAATACTCTTTACTAAAAAAATTAAACAAAAAATTTAAATTTGACCAAATTAGATAAGATCACATTAATTTTTTGTTGGGGGTATATGTATATAAAATTTTAAAAAATAATATTTTTAACTTTATCACAAGAAATTAGTTGGGGGCATTTGCCTCCTACTCTTCCTTAGTGGATCCGCCACTGATTTTAATCAAGGAAAACACACACACACACGTAGTATGTGTGTGTACGCACGTAGGTGTATTTGTTATATAATACAGTACTCATTTAGCATATTTATGTTATTAATGTTAGAACTTGCACATTTTTATGAAATTAATGTATATACATTTAATTAATAATATATTTGTATAATGCTCATTTTATTGTTAAAAACTTTTTTTTTTGTTTTTTTACTATTTAAACTTCTAGTGATTAATTAAACCACGAAGTGATGGATATCAACAATAGTAACATTTTATGGGTGATTGTTTTTTGATAGTGTATTAAAGCTGCATTTTCTGAATATTTTAAAATTAAATGTATGAAATGATTTTGGGACTAAATGAGCGGTCGGTTTCTTCAAACATGACTTGAGGTATAGTGTGTGATTGATGTCAAATTCTTTCCAAAACCGTTAGCGACAGACAGAGAGACACCCCTCCCTCCTTCCCTCCGCCCTTAGCACCAATTCTCTCTCCTTTTCAATTTTCTTTCGGCAAGTTTCCCTTTTTTTCAATTCCATTTATTTCTCTTTGCTACTTTTTTATTTTTATTTTTATGCTTCCCATTACAACTGGCCTTTGAATTCTTTTCTACTCAATGCTCCATTTCTTCTTCTTGTTTCTTGTGCTGAATCATTCTCTCTTTCTTTCTGTGTGCTCACAGCAAACTTCTCTTTGAACCCAAGTCAGAAATTTACTGAACTAAAAATGACATCTTTTCTAAGAATTTCTTATTTCGCTTACCTTTATGAGCTTTTGCATTGTGCATCTTTGATTCATCCATTTCCATGAGAAACCCATCTCTCCAATTGGGTTTCTGATCTATCTTCAACTGGGTTTTCTGCAAATTTCTCGTGATGGGCTTTTCGAGTTCTTGATTTGTCTTAAGCCACTGGACAGTTGGGAAAGATGATAGCTTGTGCTTTCTTTCAACTCTTTTTAGTTAGTTGTGGGCTGTTTTTTGTGGCCTCTGAAGTTTTCCCCCCGGATGAAGGTATGATCTCATCAATGCACTTGAAATTTTCCCACAGATCCGGCTTCTCTTTGGGGTCCAGAATCTTGATTGCTTTGTGGGTTCAATTTTAGGTTTTCAATCATTGGAAATGTGTAGTATTTAATTTAGTTCACATAATCATGCTCTTTTAAGACATTTTCTTCTTTTTTTTTCCTCCATCTGACTTCTCCAAACTTGTTAATTCATTTCATTTTCATCAAATTGTGTCAAAACATACATTTAAGGAATTGAAAAACTGTTAGTCAAACATGAGTGGGGTTGTTTTGATACCCATCATGGGTGTCATAACATGAAACCAGATGATTTGAGGGCCCTACAAAGTGGTTCTTCTCACCCCTATAGAGGTAGGAACCATTTAAGGATGAGGTACAGCATTGTATGGTCCTCAAATGGCACCAGTGTCATATTATGACGCCAATGATAGGTCTCAAAACATCCTCACTCGTCAAATATTACTATGGTATTTACTTTAACATCTCATTATTAAGCATAATTTTGAATTTTTGATTGTTTTGTGGGTTTCATTTTACATTTTAGGATGAGAATCGATGCAAGGTCTTATCTAACCAAGTTCTTATGCTTCTTGCATATTTACCTCATAATTCTTTCCTTTTGGGCAGTGAAAGCTCTTGCTAAGCTCAAAGAATCTATATATGAGGACCCACTTATGGTTTTATCAAATTGGACTGACAACGATTCCGATCCTTGTAGCTGGAAAGGCATTTTTTGTTCCAATGCTAGAGATCATGTCATTAAAATGTAAGATCCATTCTTTAACTTCTCCCAACTTGCCATTAAAATGCAAGATTCCTTCTTTAATTCTCAATGAAGTAATGCAATCACAATTTGCAGTAACATATCGGGGGCGTCTTTGAAGGGCTCTCTTTCACCAGAATTGCGCCTAATCTCTTATTTGCAAGAGCTGTAAGTCCAATTTTTTTTAATTACAGAATTTAAAAAAGGCGATTTTTTGTGCACGTGATGGATAGTTAACTCTTAGGTGGTGATTTACAGTATATTGCATGGAAACCTACTCTCAGGCACAATACCAAAGGAGATTGGATTGCTGAAGAATCTTAAAGTATTGGACTTGGGTGCCAACCGGCTGACCGGACCAATTCCTCCCGAGATTGGCAACTTATCCAATGTATCAAAAATGTCAGTGTAACTTTGAATAATCCGATACCATCTAATTATTTTTTTAAACTACCCGTCTTATGGGTTTCTAGTTTCTACTGGGTTTGTCGCAAATTTTGAAACTCAGCAGTATTCATTACTGCTGGATTTTTATTTCAATTATCGCCTGTTTTTTCATTATTGTGTTTGTCTTTTTTGCAGAGTCCTTCAATCCAATGGGTTGACAGGGAGTTTGCCCCCTGAGCTTGGAAATTTGAAATATCTTGAGGAGCTTCGGCTTGATAGGAATAGACTCCGGGGCGCATTGCCAGTCAGTAACGTCTCAAAAGTACATGGAATGTAAGTAGTGAGTGATTTGTTATTCCTCATTTCGCCCACAGGGGTTAAATCTCGTTAGAGGATTTAATATTTACTGGACCTTCAATCACTAGTTTGAGTTGATTCAAAGGTCACGAGTTCGAACCTCACCATCACCCACATTTAACAATTCTTGAGCCTATAACCATAACTTTGAAATTTTGGTTGACTCATATTTTTAGCATCTCTAAATAAAACACAAAAATATATGCTGTATAATCTAAACTCCATTGGGATTTGGGTATCAAAATATACGCTGTCCTACCCATGTATAGACAGAGAGACTTGATGCATTGTTGCATTTACTACCCAAAAGTTTATTGAAAGTAAGAACCAAGGAAAGTTTAAGGTGTTATTTTGATTTAATTCATAATTCACCTGAAGCTAAAAAGAATTGTGAAAACAACTATTTAAAAAAGAGTCATATTCTATGCAATAGAGCTAATTCTTCACACTTGGAATGGATTATACATCTAAACTTTCCTTTACTTGTATACTAGGGATCCCCACGATGGCAACACAAATGTTTTTTGTCGTTTGTCTCAGCTTAAAGTCATTGATTTCTCCTTTAACTTCTTTGTTGGGAATATACCCAACTGTTTGAGTTCTCTCCCAAGGTACTTTTCACTCTTCTTCTTTGCAGACTTTGTTGTTTTAATCTCATTTCTATTCTAAATCTCTTTATTCTCGTGCAAAGCTCGAGCTTCCAAGGGAACTGCCTACAAGTGAAAGAAATCCAACAGCGCTCCCCTGCCCGTTGTGGTATGTCATATACTACTTGCACTAAACTGTCAAAATTTGAATCACTCAAAAAGAAAAATTTCCACTTTTTTTGGTCCCTTGATTATTATTCTTCCCCTTTCATTAAAATGGAATTATTATTCACCTTTTTAAACAATTAAAAGACTACATGATTCTTACTTTTGCACTTGATTTGTTTTTTCAGGCAGTACACTGCCTGGGAAGAACCGTCCAAGAGCCAACGCGGCACTACACCCACTTGCAGATATTCCAAGCCATCACCGAGCTGCGTCTTCAAAACCTACCTGGCTTTTAGCTCTGGAAGCTGTCACGGGAGTCATGGCGGGTACTCTATTTGTGGTGGCTCTTCTGACTGCCTTTCACAAGTTCAAGAGCAGACCTTCTATTATTATCCCTTGGAAGAAATCGGGTAGCCAAAAAGAAGAAGGAAAAGACCATATGACCATCTATGTAGGTCAGTGTTATGAAGAGATTCATCCATTTCTAAGAACTTCAACTTTTCATATTAGGGTGGTACCTGTAAAAGTTCTAAACAAAGCACAGAAAAGTCTGGAAAGAGCATTGTATGATTGATACAATAGGAAAACAAGTATTTTTAAAAAAAGTTACCACTTTGTCCTAAAATTATCTTTTGCCCGAAAATCATCTTCCCGGTTAGTTTGACTTGACACGTTTGTTGGCAAAGTTGAATTGTGTTGTTGTGGTATATTTAGAAGTGAAAACCACACAAATCTTCCTGCAAAAGAAATTGTAGGACATCCCAAAAAAAAAAAACAAAGAGAAAGTAGGAAGAAAATTTCAGTAAAGAGCGATATTTCATATAAGAGTTAAAAAAATACTATACTGTAATTTCTTGAAGCATTACTTATCCAGTGAAAAACCCATTTCAGATACTGAGATGCTTAAGGGTGTGGTGCGGTACAGCAGGGAGGAACTAGAGGTAGCATGTGAAGATTTCAGTAACATTATTGGATCTTCACCCGACAGCTTTGTGTACAAAGGTATCATGAAAGGTGGGACAGAAATAGCTGTTATTTCCTTGTGTATCAAGGAAGATCATTGGTCAGCTCATCTCGAGCTTTATTTTCAGAAAGAGGTAAATTTTTTCCCCTTTCCTACGAAGTTTTGGGCAATATATGCATGCTTTTACTTATGATATGGTAATATATGCTTTAACTTGTACCTCAACAGGTTGCAGAACTTTCTAGAATAAATCACGTAAACACGTCAAAACTGCTGGGCTATTGTAGAGAAAGCAGACCATTTACAAGGATGCTGGTTTTTGACTATGCGTCAAACGGGACACTGTACGAGCACCTTCACTGTAAGTGCATAACTAGGGACCTGTTTGGATAAAAAAGGATTATTTGGCTGAAATGGTTGAAAAAAATCTTATCTTTTCTGAAATGAAAAAAGAAAATTATTTGGTAACATTCCTTTCAGCCAGAAAAGGCATTGAGTTAACATTGTTTGTTAAAGGTTGGGGAATTGATGGGTGCAGATGGAGAAGGGAGCCAATTATCATGGACCAGACGAATGAACATTGTTATCGGCATTGCTAAGGGGCTGAAGTATCTCCATACCAATCTTTCTCCACCGTTCACCATCTGTGAACTGAATTCGAACTCTGTCCATCTCACAGAAGATTTTTCTCCAAAGGTAAAAAAAACCAAGATCAATTCCTTCTAACAACTCTATTGATTTTAGTTACCATTCTCATATTTAAGTGGCTCCGTTTTACAAACCCAGTAAAATCCCACAAAAAGTAGGGTCAAGTGGCTCCGTTTTACACTTCCTTTTTTTTAAAATTAACTTTTTTTACAGTCATGATAATCGATACAAATGCATCATATACATTTGGTGCAGTTGGTTGATTTCGAAAGCTGGAAGACAATAGTTTCAAGATCAGAGAAGAGTTCGGGGGCCATCGGTGGTGAAGGTGCACTGTGTATTTTGTCAAGCTCTCTAGAGAAGCGCCGCCTTGACATCCAGGGTAATATCCACGCGTTCGGCTTGTTGCTGCTAGAAATTATCAGTGGCAAACCTCCCTACAGCAAACACAAAGGGTCCTTGCTTGATTGGGTAAGAATTCCTACAAGTAATATATATATATATGTTTCATTCACACATTTCCCTCATTTGGAAATAAATAATGGGTTAATGATGCCTTGAGTTCAACTGGGTAATGGATTGGATTTACCCTTTTACACAATGTTTGGTTCAAGGAATTGGGAAGAGAAAAAAGGGGTTTCTCGAATTTTCCTCACCAAAATGGAAGAAATTTTGTTTTCCCTCCTCTGAGTTCATTTTGCCTACTCTTTTTCACCACACTTTTGGGTGGGGCCCGCCCTGGCGTTGCCCCTGGGGGGGGGGGGGGGGTTTGGCTAAAATAATTGGGATGGCGGTTGTGGCAGGCGAAGGATTTCCTGGAAGTCCCGGAGGTAATGCCGTACGTGGTGGACCCGGAGCTGAAGCACTTCAGGTACGAAGACCTGAGAGTGATATGCGAGGTGATAAAGCTGTGCATCCAACCGAGCTGGATCAGCAGGACGTCCATGGCCGAGCTATGCGCCATGCTTGAAGGTAACATCGACACTTCTGTGTCTGTGGAGCTCAGGGCTTCTTTGGCGTGGGCCGAGCTCTCCGCGCTCTCCTGATTCTTTTTTTTTTGGACCGCCTGTACGGGGATCGTTTTTTCTCTAGGTTTAATCGAGTCGGGTTTTGTGCAAATTTTTGTTTGCCATATAGAGGTTGATTGTATGTTTTTTTTTTCTGTAAATGACAAAGAACATATTAGGATCACAGTATCAAAATATGGAGTACTCATTAGTTAATGTGTAGCAGTGTGAAGTAACTGGTCAATATACTACCAGAGTACATATACTCATATATTTCTTTCGTTTTTTTTTATTATAAAAAAAATAATAATTTCAACACTTTGAGCTTTGTGCTATCATCATTCCTATGTATGGCTAAAATACGTGTATAAATTGTAACATGTGAAAATATGAATATGAATTGTACTCTCTGAGATTTGAAGTTGGTTTATTTTTTCAAGTCGTTGAAATAAATACTCATCCGGTCATCTCGTCCTAATTTAAGTTGCATGTCCACTGTTTACAGAGCTAATTTTATTCTTAAATTTCACGTCAATTTTCATATAAAATAAATTAAAATAATTTCAATCAAATATTGTGAACCATAAAAAACCATTTAAATTAAGACGGAAGGAGTATATGGAAGAAGTTGAAAAAATATTCCAGAGCATCGACTTTAACCAACTTAGGAAATTCGAAGAGACCAGAAGAAACAAGACAATTGCAGTCTGTAAGCTTGTGAGCCTGTCTTTAAAACTTGTTCATGCCAGACTGGGAATGAGAAGTTAATTAATGGAGTGCCCGAGAATAATGGTTGTCGTTCGGATTCCTCCTTCCATAGAAAACAGCCACTGTTTGCCTCATAGGAGGCTGCAAGGGAGCCCTTTTGTCGGTGTGGTTGACAAATATGTTGTCTTGAGTAAATATATCATCGTCTCCCTGCATCGCATCGCCCCAATTTTCGGCAATTAGCAAATAAAAATACTCCCTAAAAGAGTGACATTTATATAGCAGGGCAATAGAAACACAACGGTGTTAAACGTTTCCATAATTTACGAACCACACACACACACAAACAGACTAGCCTTTTCCAAACTAACCTTCTTGTTTTTCTTCTTTGTTTTAGGGTACAAAAACTTTTGTTCAAGCTGATCCTCGCGCAACACGGGGTTCTTGGCAATGCCATTCCTGCCTCCTTGGGGCAGGGGTAGTGAGAACTGCGCGAAAAATCAAACAACGTGCAATTCGTCAAACTGTAAGGACAATAATTTGGGGGGGGGGGGGG